ATTAGGGGCGTTCTATTGTTTTTTCAAACTTGACAAGAAATTCTAGATTCTGGTAATTTGAAGCGGTAAACGCTTAATTACCTTGCAAAATCAAGGTTTGATGATGAACTATTTTCGAAGCTCTCAAATTTGGAAGATTTTGTAGGGTTTAACGCATTTTTGTTTTGAGCCATTTTTTGAAAATTAGGGGCTTTTAGAAAAATGATTCTAAAAGGCCTCAAAATGCTAGTTTCAAAATAACTAAGTAGTGGTTTGCATCAAGCAGGACCTGGTTTGTCTTCATGTCATCGAATTTGTTCGAAAACCACAGACTGAAAATTCTGAGGATTACCTAAACTTAGTCAAAGCAAAAATGACGGGTTCAAAACTTGGAAAGTTTTTGCGACAACTAAGAAGTCAACTGGGCCATTGGCCTCACTGCTGAAAAGAGAAAGAAAAGCTACATTCTATACAGTTTAGGGTGCTCTTCTATCGCTATTCTACACGAGTTGCGGAAAGTTCAGAAATGGGGATCCAAAAGTTTTCATTACTTTTAACTCAACCTAACACACATATCGAAATTGACGTGCTGTTAATCCAAGCGCGAGAAGAGTAAAGCTGTCAGCAAATCTTTTGAGAAAACACTGAAGGAATGCCGCGAAACTGGATAAGCAATGGAGCTGTGGGATGCTTGCACAGAATCAAGTATAAGCTTTTGTAAAGGGACACAAAAGACAGATACTAAATAGACTAAATAGGTAATGGAGTTAGAGATATACGAAATACTAGCTGGCTTACCCGGCTCCGCCGTATCCGGACCAAACTTGGCACACATACACTTCGGGCCCCGGCGGGTGTCACAGTCCACTTTTCGTTATCGATCGATGTCGATTTTACCGGTTTTTATCGATTTTTTGCAGAGTTCACCTACAGGGCTAGGAGTTGGCACAGGGGGGGGGGGGGGAAGTGAGCATGGGGATTCCGAATACAGTATTAGTTTTCAGGATCGTCCATTACTTTTATCGATTTTATCGATTTTTTGTAAAGTTTGACCTGCGGGGCTGGGAGTTTGCACAGGGGGTAATCGAGCATGCAGATTACGAATACAATATTAGTTTTCAAGATCGTCCATTACTTTTATCGATTTTATCGATTTTTTTGCAAAGTTTGAGCTAGGGGGCTGGAATTTGGCACAGGGGTGTAATCGAGCATGCTGATCACCCCCCTTGGGAATGATCAGCATGCTCGATTACCCCCCTGTGCCAACTCCCAGCCCCCTAGCTCAAACTTTGCAAAAAAACCGATAAAATCGATATCGATCGATGACGAAAAGTAGCCTATGACACCCGCCGGGGCCCGAAGTGTATGTGTGCCAAGTTTGGTCCGGATCGGTTCAGAAATGGAATTTTCTATTCGGAACATACGTACATACATACAGACAGACATACAGACAAACAGACATTCAGCTTTATATATAAGATTGATACTCGACTTCTGTAAGATTTCCACAGATTCCACCACTACTCATTTCCAAATGTAAACAAATACAGGTTCAATAATTTTTTGTATTGCTTTGGCAGAGTAGGTTTAATACACACTCAAACAGATAAAGGTTCTAAACAAACTATCCATTATCTGTATAATATCTTGCCGCCCATAAAGCAAGGAAATGTGTAAATAATTTCGCTAAGATTGCAGAGCAATTTTAGGATGCACTGACCTCGCAAGTGCATTCTTATCTGACAAATGACTTTGGTGCCATAGTAAAAGGGCCCCAAATCCTGTTTAGAGTAACGATCTAGACATAGTGCATTTGTACTATCAGCAATTACGTAGTGGTCACCTCTGCAAAACTCCGTTGAGAATTTCCCAAAACAGTGGGGGGGGGGGGCACAAACGCTCTTGAGCACAAATGGTCCATGCGCAAGTATAAGCTAGAAATTGAGGGAATTTATTGTTTTTCACACCTCATTGAGTTTATTCCAATTTTCCAGTATATCTGGGTGAATTATCAGACAGCGTGAATAATTTCAAGTGAATAATGAAAAAAAAGCAGACGTTTGTTTCACAAAATCACGATCAGTAGAACGGGCCACATACCGAATTAAATTTGAAATAAATGAAAAAAGTACAAGCTGAGCGCAAACTAGCTTTTTGAAAAAGAAATTTGCTTGGTGAAAATCTCCGACAATGAGTCTCTTCGCCTAAATTTGAAAATTCTTCCACGCGATTGCTCAAAACAACATTATTCTGACAGCGATGAATCACAACATTGATATCAAAGACTTTTCTCTTGTGAGAAACCCAAACAGTTCCGAAAATTACAGCTCTGACTAATGTGAAAAGGTTCTGATGTGTAAAGTGGTGTTGACTAAAAAAAACTGACAATATTGGGCAGATGGGAATAGAAGAGAACCGATTTTTAGATAACGTGAAAATCTGGAGACATCCAGACATTGTGCAAACAATATATTGTGAAGAGAGAAACGTCTGACTTCTGAAAAATGGAGGTCTAGAACTGGCTGAACGAACCAATGCCTTGCCTTCAAAAACAACACCATCCACTTCGAGGAACCTGAACTGGATTATCCACAACAGGAAGTGACGAGACTCGCTCGAAACAGCCACAATAACAATGAATTAAACTTGAATAGTATGGTGTAAAGCCAAATAAGGAGAAGTGCTTAAAAACCTTTGATTGGCTGAAGTTTATGGGAAGTCGACTAATTAGGTGTGCTCGAGTAAATAGCCAAATTTACAGACCTTGAGAACAGATAAAAGTTTGAAACGTACATGGAATGCAACAGCATACTAGCACCACAGGTGTCGGAAGGAAATTGTGGCATGTTCCGGTCATGGGCCTTGGGTTTTTTTGCAAGTTTGGGCAATAGGTTGCGAAACTAGTACTTGGTTGCACTTCAAGCTCATACATAACGGGAGTCGCTTGTGTTTCAAAGGTGGTGCGAGAAGGAAGCGTAGACATTTGGATTACTCGTTCTTATCAAATTTCTTTTCTTTCTTCACATCCCATCAATATGGTCTCCCGTCTCTCGTTCTCGAAATGGGCTAATCCTGTTAAGGATAGTAATGTCCGGGACGTAACTTGTTTTTCTGAGCTTCAACGATCCTTTCCAGTTCCTTTGTTTTGAGCTCACGTCATGACACCACTAGTGGTCCCAACGAACTACGAAAGCGTCAAACTGATCGTTTTGGCAACTATTGGTCTCTTATCAGCCTGTGCTTTCATAATGATTTCCTTGTCAGCACTAAAGCATCTTGTTTGTGGCTTTGGAAGCCCAACAACTGAGAGCAAGCCAAGGACTGATTATGAAAACAAAGCTTTTCCTTCTGGCGATATCAATAAAGCTGCAAGACTAGGAGAGTTTGATACAGAACCAAATTGTATATTCGGAGACGAAGTACCACAAAGCTAGAACTGATTATACGAGTCGAAGCGATCAGTTTTTCCAGTGACAATTGATTATACATGTAGGAAGTTCCACTTGTGTATATACTGATCGTTAATATCTCTCTCCTAAATATACTACTCTTTGAATGTTGTTTTCTAAGGCTGCCAACTTAGATTTACGATAAAAATGCATAATCAAAGGCTTATTGCAGGAGCATAGTGGGACCAGATTTTTTGATCTTTTCGAAGTTTTTCTTGAATCAATCAGTAACTTCAGTAAGATATTTTATAGGTTCTCTCGTGAAACCTAGGCATTGTATGCCATGTCATGAAACCTTGGTAAGATTCTACCTCTGAGAGAGGCTTACCGAAATGTTAGGCCGAACAAAAATCTTAACAAACTTACGTGGCTCACAACCAAGTTCAAATAATTGCTCTTATCGGCTCAAAAGCAGCCTCCCTAACTTAATAATAAACTCAATCTATGTAATAAGGGTAGCTCGTCAGTCGAAGTGGCCTTTCTAAACGTGATGTATATCATATTGAAGGGCATAAAATGCTGATTTCAAATCTGCCTTTCTTATCTGCAAGACATTTATGGACGAGGAGTTACGAGCGTTTTTTTTTTCGAGCTGAAAATTGAATGTGCATTTAGGATAAAATGATTAGCTAAAATATTATTATACTAGCCCTCAAATAATGCAACCAAGTGTGTTATATTTTTTATTTTAGAGTACTTTTTAAGAAGTTTACGGTTATTTTTGTCCTACTTGCATATTCAATTTTTTACTCAATAAGCACTCGTGCCTCCTCGTCCATAAACGTTCTACAGGTATTTGATGTGGTATGTATCCCGTCCGAAAAGGTCGCTTCGATTGAACATGCTTTCCCTGTAAATTTAAACCAGGACTTGACTGATATGAATGCGCTACTGGGCTCGTTATTAACTGCATTTAGCCTCAGTAGTTCTATAGGAAAAAAACGGAAGACAGGTCTTCTTAAGTGATGGTCCTTCCAAAAGCATACGACGAACCTCTCAATAAAAAGCATATTAGATTTTTCAATCTCATTCTTTCTCTGCTCTTCATGTTCACTTATGCCTAATTCGATAATTTTTGACCTTCGCATCCTCAGCGTTTTTTAACATCTTGCACTACGAAAAGTGGGGTTTAGACTTTTTTATTTTGTATCAAACGATTGACCACCCAAATCAAGAAAACTTATGAAACCAAAATTCCTTCGTCTTCCTTGTTTGTTTTTTCGTCAACCGATATACCTCATTGTTTGTTTTTCCAGGTCAAGCAAAGGAAATTCTTTACAGATGTGCTAACTTCAAAGATGCAAACAACAAATCAGGGAAAGATAGTCGCTTGTTTACCCTCACCACATCGAATCAGGGGAGTTCGCAAAATTTGGTCTTGGTGCCAATCATTTATCAAAGTTCACTGCAGTTTTTCCGTACATGGAAAAAATGAATTCCACACGAATTTCGATTTTGGGATTTTCCGTAGAAAAGCCAAACTTTATTGATCAAAACAAGGTATCATGTTTGGTAATCGCTAAAATTGCTGTAACGGAAATCTTCTCGTAGATTACGAAGCGAGGTCGATAATCAGTTCTTCGATAGTAGTTTCTCAGCAAGTTTTTGCAGTTTTTCGCCTGAAAATAATTATAATTTTTTTGTATACACAAGCATGAGTCGTTTTACTTTTGAACACTGAGCACAGGATGGGGAATTGCTTCTGTAGGTCATCTTTGGCGGAGTCCGATAAAGCCTTGTACTTGTTGATGGCATTCTGACTTTTCTCTTTCATCTCATTTATGCTTGGCATTTTGCCAATAATAATTTGAGAATGTACATGGCGCATGTCAGCAAGTACCTTTAATTTTTCCAGCTTTTGGAATATGCTCTTTCAAAACAGACATACCTCTTTGACAAACGCTTTAGCCTCGTCACCAAGGGCATCGACCTTTTCTCTCACCATTGAATGAAGCTTTTCAGCCTTAGCTCCCAGCTCTGGAGATTTTGCTTTCAGAGCAGCCAGAGCCTAAGCACTAAATAAGGTTTTGGTAGAGGTACAAGCAACGCGGCTTACCTCGTCCTCGCTTTTGGTAGAGTAGTCTCTGGTAACCTCTTCAATCACTTTTTTATCTGCTGGAGTCAATCCCATGAGGAAGTCTTTAGCCTCCTTGGGAACAATTTCTGAATTGACGGTTTACGAAAAAGGTTGCGGATTACTTCCAAAAGACAAGGCTTTTCAAACATTAGGCCACTGGAAAATCTTGAAAGTGGAATCTCATTTTTCCATTTTCATTTCAGTTCAAAAAGCATTCGTCCTACAGCGGCCCTCGGTGAGCTATCTTCTTCAAAAAAATACTAATGACTTTTTTTTGCTAAATAAACAATCGTGCATTACCTTTGAAGTCATCAGGGAGATCATTGAGATTAAGAAATTCAGCATTTGCAATACTTAAAACGGCAGCGATTGCGAATATTCGTCCGAACATCTCTAAAACATAGCTCTATTATTTAAACGCGTTAGAAGTTTGTTTGGAGACCCTAAGCACATTTCTCTAATGAAGGAGTGAACCCTTTTGGGACAAAGTGAGATTGTGAACGAAGCTCACTACGAATGCGATGTTTATATGTTTGCTGCGAATTGTTTAGAGTTGCTGGTTGCATGATAAACTATTCGAGATGCAGTGAATTGCTCTTTGAAAGTTGATGCCGAATTCGAAGTGGTCCACCAGAGCTATATGTTCAAGAACAAAGAATGCTGACCGGAGAACACTGGGCTATGAATTTTCCAAGTGCTCTGCAAAAAAGTTTTATATGATTCTAGCCCTCAAAGTATCGTTGTGCTAAAGTACTCGTGACTATATGAAAATTGTTTGAAAACACCATTATGGCAAATAATTGGCTAAGATGGCAAAGAAGGTCCTCAGTGGCGATAAATAAAACTGAAGGAAAGGTGAAGCTGTATACATTTGCTTGTTGATAACTCTTTTTCTTGTAAATTTAGCGGCTGCCCTCATGTTGCATGTTCCATAATTACAGTACGTGATTATGGTAGGAAGTTTCAGCAAAATATGGCTGGATAATTAGCAGTTATTCCGAAGAATCCTCATGGAAGCTTAAAACTTCGATGATGCTGTATTCAAATACACTAACTTAATAAAATATCTTGAACCGCTTCGCAAAGGGGTTTGAATTGCGCCATGAGATTTTCAATAATTATCGGATGCCGATACGGCATGAAAGCGTGGATTTTGCACGAGAAATTACGTGAAATCAAATCTGTTCGTGACAGCGACTCTAATGATATAATGTTAGCTCAATCCAAGTGTCCTACGACAGCATGCTGTCCTGATGCTATGGTACTGAAGCAAACTCTTTTCGTAGCTCAAAACCCTTGAGGACAACAAGCTCAAGAGAACTACAGAGAATCAAATGTCAAATACATTCGGAACAGCTCGATAGAAATTATATTTTCTACAGAAAATGCGAATAAAACCAGTGAGTTTGCCAGTTGGTAGTAAAAGAATAGCTCTAGCTTTTCTTTCACTTCTCGCTTCCTCAAAATCCTGAGATCCAAGCTTTATGCTACACATGATTTGATAAGGAAGCACAATAAAAATAAAAAGAGGGTGAATCACGACCCTGTTTGTTGGTGGTGCCTGGTTCTGCCACTCGTACTGGTGATAAATTAGTATTTTTCTGAGTTGTAGACAAATTTGTTTATGGCTGCAACTGGTTAGTTGCTCCAGACAATACAGTGTTTTTGTGCAATGTTTTTATGTTTGATTTACGTCTATTTTCCTGCCTATCAAGATTATTCAAATTATGGGAGTTGCGTACTAGGCCATAGCTTGTCTTAACATTGCTTCAAGTTCATAGTTTCTATTAAGGCTTTCAACTTTTCCTTTCTAAAACTTTACAAGAAAAAGGGATCTCTGACTTAATATTTATCGAGTTTCTAAGAAACATTTCTTTATCAATTTTCAAATTAACTGCATCCTTGCCAAATAGCATCTCGTTCCACTCTGTTCCAACCAAAAACATTTCGAAAAAATTTTATTTGAAAAACACATGACAAGTGAGAAAGATGAGAGTATTTTACTTCACAAAGAAAAAAGCGAAATCAACATCAAGTAGCGGTACTACACGTCTTCATTGCTGGAACTGTCAAGTGGAGAAAGAGCTCAGTTCTTGGAAAGCAAAGTTTCGGCCATCTTTTGGAATTTGTCATCTGAAAAGCGCAGAGTTGACTCCCCTTAACTTCTAAAATTTGTATAAAAAATGCCTACTCTTGAAGACGGAGGTGAGGATTGGGAATTGTTTCTGGAGGTCTTCCTTGGCAGCGTCGGAAAGGGCCTTGTACTTGTTGATGGCGCTTTGGGCCTTCTCCTTCAGTTCGGCAAGGTTTGGCTTGTTGCCAGCGACAACTTGAGCTTGGAGTTTGCGAGCTCCATCGATGATCTAAATCAATTTTTCTTTCAAAATGAGTCAAGAAAATATTTGTTTCAATTTACCTCCTTAGCGAAGGCCTTGGCCTCATCTCCAAGGGCGTCAACTTTCGTCTTTACCATCTGGTGCAATTTCTCGGCTTTCTCTCCAAGTGCGGGTGATTTCTGTTTTAGTGCAGCCAAAGCCTTGAAAGAACGGAGTAAAGACCGATTGGGAAAAATTATAGAAAATTTTGCTTACATCATCCTCGTTCTTGAGCTTGGAGTAATCCTTGGCAATTTCCTTTAGCACATTCTTGTCGGCATCAGAGAGTCCAGTGAGGAAATCCTTGGCTTCCTGAGGGATCAACTCTGGAAAATACCTTTTTAAAGGGGCCTCAGGTTAAAATAAAGCTGTGGAGTAACTTTTACCTCTGTATTCTGCTGGAATATCTTCGATGCTAGTGAAAGGAGCGGCATGGGCAAGGCACACAAGGGCAACAACGGCAGCTACTTGACGAATCATCACTAAAATTCGCAAATGAAGACCACTTCAAGTCTGGAAACTGGGAGGATCTGGAAGAGAAGAGAGAGAGAAGGACAAATGCTTGGGAAATGCCCTGTCGGACGGCTTTTAACCCCATGGCCAGGGGGCTGACCTTCGCGAGGAACGAGGCATGACGAGACGGCAGAGAGCACTGCCGGGGCGGTGATTACAGAGAAATCGGGAGGATCTAGTGGAGGGGATGAGTCAAATCGCGTTCGAAGCAGCTGATAGTATTACAAATGTACACTTGGGACCACTTCGAGATTAGTTCGACGGATTAGCTGATCGACATCTGATTCGGGACGCAGTTTTATGGGAAGCGGCCGTCTTTGAAGTTTGCCGTCTTTGCAGCGACTAGAACTCATAAAGTCAGAAGAGTTACCGCATCTAAAGTTCTCTGCGATTACTGAAATTAAATTCTATGACTCAGAAAATACAATTAATCGGTTACATCTACGTAAACAAACTCGTAAATTGAGAAAAATTAATTTGCACAATTTTTAGCATGTAAATAGTTAACAAAGACTCCGAAGAAGTCAAGCTCCTGCTCGTCATGGCATGTGATATGTGTTCTCAGTTTACGACAGTTACGACTCGTTGCTATGGTTTAAGCATGTTTCCAGGTACATAACAAAGTAGAAAAAAATTAAGCTGCTGTCTGGGCTCTTAAAGCTGTGACTTGTTTGCGAAACATTAAACTTACAGCCGAATTCAAATATGCCAAAACATAACATCTGCGTTTTCAGTGTCTAGAATGCGTAGATAAATAAATTTAGAATTAATGCAAAGATCGAAATCTTGTCTAGATCGTTGAGGTTCAAGTTGAAGGAATTGAATATAATATGTTTCGTAGCATGTGAAAATACTAGCTGGCCACAAAAGTATTGAGTATACGCTTTTTCTGCAAAAAGACGTAAATTATAAATCCTTTGTGATGGTCTACATAAAAATGGGTAAACCAATTCAGATTAAACAATTTTTTAGCTTTACCGTATACCTTACATATCCGATGGGCTACGCTATACATTGATCTTTTGACAAAAGGAAAAACGCAGTTTTATCACACTCTCTGGAAAATCTGTACTTTCATCACCCGGAAATGATTACTGTCCGAAGATTGCGTTCTAAGAATCAAATTGTTCTAGATTTGGTACGATATCTTTAGACCATAGTACCATATTTTATTTACTTACCGTTCCGCCATCTTTTACCTAGAACTGGGCAAACCATTTCGCCGTTTTTCCGTAGGGTTGAGCAAACGTTCTGCTGTCTTTCACCGACTTGAGCAATCCTAACTGCTTCTTCAGACGCTGAACAGAAATCGTCCCAGCTACAATTCAGATTTTATTAATAGATCTGACGAATATTCGAATAAATCCAAGGAGATGTATTACATTGGCACATAAGTAATGCAACTTTTTATAAAACTTTTGTCTTTTTGAACGTAGCGCATTCATTTTTTCGGCAGTTATGTGATGTAAACCTCAAATGCAGATATTTCTGCCGAATTTTGCCATCTTATGTAAGAGTTACGGTAGGTTTACGGTTACGGTTTATGGGAATTTTTAAATTGGTTCAGATTTCACTAAAATTGGGCCTATGGGGCTACTCAATATGCTGATCATAAAAATGAGACCCGCTTCGCATGAAAGCTCCTCTTTCGTATGGTCAAGGAATGAATTTTCATCTTAGCAAGAACTGAATTTGATATTCGTGTTCACCTTATAAGATTACTCTATCAGGCGAACTTCTAACGAATTCTAACTTCTCGCAGCAGTTTTTGACAGATTGCCCTCCAAATTTGACGCATTTGACTTATTCAACTCAATAGCGCCCTGCCTTGATTTGTCTGTGAATTACATTCCTTTTTTTAACTGGTTCTAATGTGTCAACTTCTAGCTATATTTACATTTACATTTACATTTATTCATCCTCAGCGGTTATGTACAATTGATACCGCGATGATTCCGCTTACTAGCTATTCCACTTATTACGCTTATTCCACTTCTAGCTATATGCTGCCTATAATTCTTTTTTGATATATTAGATTCAGGTTCTGTACGGCTTCATGTTTGCCAAAAAACTGCGAAACCTCGATTTTCGGCAGCTTCTCAAGATTATCGGCATAGCTTTCCAAGATTACTCAGATTTATCCCACTTCGTTATCGAAAATAAACTATTTGCGCGAGCTTGCAGCTTACATCACAGTCTACATGATTTCAGAGAATGAAATTACCACATAGAATAAGAAAAATTCATGGCAAAAGTTGCAAAACTTATGTGCCAACCTAATACAAGCCCTTTTGCTGTACTGTTTGTACTCACTCTCAACTCCTCTCCACTTTTCTTCCTATAAGAAGGGCTCAATCAATTTTCATTGAGCATTATTAATAGAAAACGATACCTGATGAAGTTGCATCCTATCGATAATTATCGAAATCGGAGAGCTTGAACGAGGATTGTAATCGAAAACGGCTTTTTGTCGTAAGCATTTGCTTTTTCAAGCTTGGCACTTTTTTCAGAGAGTTGCAAGTGCAAAGTGCCTCTTTTTGCAGGCTCTCTCTGATCTTGCAGCTCAGGGCCGCTTGAAAAGAAAGGTTAGGACGGTTTTTTCCATTTCTTCATCTTGAAGTGTCTTTATTCAGAATCTTAAGTTAGAATAAACTAATAATAAACTAGAATTTTATCTTACGTGCGTAAATTTCCAATTGTTCACTTGCCTACGCCATCTTCATCTTGTTGTTGCCTCATCTCTGCTCTCTGTCATAAATCACCGTAGAATGAGTGTAGCGAGTTCCCATTAGCCTTTGTGTGGACCCTTCCTCATCTGGTCTTCGCACAAATGTTTCCAGATGTGGATGAGAATTGAATGTCTTTGCATAAAGCAGGCAAAAGATCGGTTGTGTGAGTACCCTTTGAACAAATGAGGTTTTTCTCACTTTCTGAAAAGGAGAATGTGCAAAAATTCCTTGGTTGGCTGAAAAATAAGTTCGTTCAGGAATGCTCAATGAAAACCTCAATAAAAACTCCTTTTCTGGTAGTTTATCCACAATTTTTCGAGGGGAAGTAGTTTAAGGCTTCTATTATCAAAAAACAACTACTCGGATTTTATACTATCAGTAAAAAGCAATCATACCTTAATAGGGCTAAGTGTTCAAAGTTCAGTTCTTTCGCTTTCTGAGCTTCGTTCTCATGCTATGGTGGATGATGAGGTTTTGGGTACGCACAAGTTTTCTCTATTTAGCGAATAACAATAAAAAATATAATATGCCATTTTGTAATTTTCTGATTGGAAGACCCAAATTTTTCCACTGCGCGATGAAATCAGGTTATATCACAATTCTTCAAAGAAAAACGAATTCTATTCAAGCACAATTCACGTAAAGGTGCTCTTTACCTATTTAGAGATGTCAAACACTGAGCAAGATTTGTCTGCAGCATTTGTAGGAGCCGCAAGAGCACGAACCTGTTTATTAGCCAACCTAATAATCTTTGTAACACTTTAAACATTTAAGAATCAGCAAAGCCCACAAGTGCAGATTTCTTGTAAGTATGGAATCCCAGCATTTCCAAACAAGGAAAGTTCAGCTCTTCTGACAATCTCAACCTTCTCCTCCAAATCGGATCTACCTCATAAACTATGTATCCAATCTGGTTTCTAGTCCCAGCAGCCTGACAATGACAAATGATTCAGTGCGTTGTCAGTAAGGACGACAGATCTTAATGAATGCCGGCTGCTATTCGGCAACAGTGACAAACATGGCCATTTGCATAGAGAGACGCTGCATCATCATTAGGACACCGAGCACTCTCATTCATTCGTAAATAAGATTTCTGCTACCACTAGTTGGATTGGGTAATCAGCATGGTGAGGGTGGTGGCAGTAATTAGGCAGCTTGTATCGACCTTGGTCTTATTAGGTTCGAGCAGAATCTCGACTTGGGGTTGTTGAACTCGAAAATTTCTATGTCAGAAAAACTCCGGAAAGCTTGTGGTCATTCCACATCCATCTTGTCCACATCTCAGATTGTTGATTCAAAGGCTCTCGGCATAAATCTTTCCGATTTACAGCCGTGTTACTACGCATTCTTGCACTTTGTAGCCAATCAAAGTCCTCACTAGTGAAATCGGATACGACAGCTTATGGCCGTGAAAAGAGCTTCCAAGGAATTTGATGATTTCGTATTGGTATGAGAAACAACAGATCATTTGATGGCTATGATTCACCTGATCATAGTATCCTGGATCTTTGTGAATCATTTCTGCTCATCGTCAACACAAGTGTTGATCATGGGCCCAGTGTAGTGTGCCGATGTGGGTGTGGATAAATGATTGAGGAAGCTACATTTTTTGGAATATGAATCCCTTGTAATTTTCGGGAAGTTTGAAAATAGAAATTGTTTTCGCAACCGCTGAGTACCTCTTCTTCATATCTGAAAATTCCTTTAGTGTACAGTTTCGCAGTTTTTTTGTATGGTTGGAACGAAATCATGCGAAAGCTCCAACTTTTTCTATACGATATTACTATTCTACTAGCACGCAATCTGAGTCGAATAATGGAAAACGAAAATTTCTTTTAAAAAGGCAAGGGCACCCTGAAAATTAGGGGACCATGCAAGCAGTCAGTTTTTCAGTCTGCAGTTCTTATATGAAAAACTGGAAGAATGAAAAAAACACAAAAATTATCGAACCATTTATATGCTCGCATTTCTCAGTGGGATGACGAGGGCTCAGCTATTTTGGGAAGAGATGCCGGTGGTGATCTTCAGCTTATCGAACATCTATCTTTATGCTCCATAGGTGATCATAAATGGAATCAAACTGAAAAGCAAGTAAAAATTTTGCGAAGCAGTAACCAAGGAACAAAAAATTGCTGTTTATTCATTACCTCTAATAAAGAGTTGAGTTTGGGAATTAATTTTTTAACAGCTTCAACCGCTCAGTTTTTGCGTTAGAGTTCCCATCTGATCTTTGAGCCTTAAATTTTGCAAGGCGATCTTTTTCCAGTTGCGGCTTTTGGTCTTTGTTCCAAGAGTGCGCTAATGCCCAGCACGATGTCTCGTTGTGTGATAAATCAATGAGAGCACAATACCTCCTCATCTCATTTTTCATTCCTTGAAAAGATAGAGGTCACTTGGAGCCAATTTTTTCTGGTCATTTGTTGCGGGAGAAAAATTAGCTCTCAAGAATGGAAATAGAAGACTAAAGATAACAATTTTTACGCCTTGGGTTTTCGGGAACGTTTTGGATCTATGGGATTCTTTGGAGGTTCAACTTTCGAGTCTTTCCATGTTTCATCAAAATATAGCTTATTGCTAGTACACTTGCTAGTTTTAGAAAACTGGGAAGTAAAAGCTTCCTAAATTTGACTCGGTGAAGGTACTATTCTTGATGAGGTGGATTTTGATTGTGTATAGTATTTTTGACGTCACAGGATAATCTGCCTACGTTAATGGGATCATATTCAAAATAACGACTAGGCATCAATTTGAAATAACGTGTGCATTTTCGACAATGGCTATGCGTAATCGAGATTTGCAGAATGACTTTCGTCGACTATACAAAATCACGATTTGGAATTGACTTTCATGGACGAGATTTTCGGGAAATTCGATGCCTTTCTACTATAAACATCATTAAAGTGGAGATTTGCTACCAAATTTAGTATCGTTTCACGTTGACCGATTGATGGATGGAATACGATACGATAAACAGTACACTGGGCTGATTCTGCTTTGTGCTCACGTGTGGCGAAGGTCCAGCTTCATCAAATAAAAAGTTGGGGAGAGTAGGATCGACTTTCAAAGTCGTATATAAACGAACCAAATCCAGCTACTCGTCAGCAAAGTAAGTCTCAGTTTGTAAGTCACTTTCTCGTCTTCGCTTTCGTCGACATTGAAAGCAAAATAACACTAGCTTCAGAGTATATGTAAGATGGGGGGGGGGGGATTTTTTTCTAAAATCGAACAGTACAGACACGCCGAAGGACTTCGCGACCAAAAAAAATGAAAATTCAAATGGTCGACGTAAATTGAATCAATGAACTGATCTGAAAGCAATATGCAAGTTTTATGATGTGATTTATTATCTCCTTTACAGCAAGCTGAATGTTTCTTTGAACAATGAAACTCATCCGACTTGTAGCAGTAGTAGGAAAATGAAAGAAGCTCTGACAGCCTGAGAGTGTATTTATGTGGTAAATTAGCTTTATACATTTCAACTAAAACTACATCCGGAAGTATCAAATATTTGTACAGTTGCGCCGGATTCTATTTGATTCAAGATTTAGGATAAAAAAAAACTAGAACCCTTGTAGTACCTCATCGAAAACTGCACATTCGCGGAATCGAATGTTATTTCTCAATAAAAGCTTCAATATTATATTTGATGTAGATCTTATATCTGCTTTATATCTGCTGGAATGGCTATTCCCTCGTGGACGATTTCCAGAAACTTTCAAAAGTTGAACTAAGCTAGATAATTTCTAACTCAAGCTGCTGAATCACAGCTGTTTGGCAGAATTAAGGATACCTAATCAGAACCGGTAGATGCAATCACTCTTTGGTCTGTGCTTAATTTAGATCCTATCCATTGTGAAAAGTTACGACAAAAAGGTACATATAGGTCAATAGCACTCTATAGATATCAGGCTGTCCCATGAATTTTTCATGTTTGAACCTTCATGAATTTCTGAACTAGGGCATCCACGTGCATATTTGTGGCAGTACTTCGGAGTTAAGCTAAAAAATCACATATTTGCAAGGAGTACAGACTCTACGGCAAAGTTTGAAAATTGAGCGTCTTATTTTTTTCTCGATTTCTAATCATCAGAAAATTGCAGCAAGTGTATGTGTAAATACTTGATGGGCAGTATATGGTGAGGAATGGGGAATTTGTTGAATGTTGAGTTGAGATAGATTATTTTCGGTTTCTTTTTGGAAATTCGATCTTTTCATTTTCACATAACTTGATGCGGATCAAGCTTGGTCCGAACTTTTGTGCACCATCTTGCAGAGGTCGCTCTACAAGATCGTTCGCATGGTGCACCATCCTATAAGCAACCAAGAAGAGCAGACTTATGCCCTGAATAATCACATATGGAAAGCCGTAAACAACTTAGCAATAACGAAGAAGAAACTAAGTTTTGTGTATATTTGGGTTTCGTTGTGGAAACCACCTTGTTTTCTAGCCATTTTTTCCCTGCTTATTTCGCTAACACTAGTCCTTCTAACAGAGACGATAGATGTGCAAATATGCTGCTCTATGGCAACAAACCGCGGTGCACGCCAGCGAGCGTGGCTGCATTGCAAGAAGCACTGCGGCAAATCGAATCGCATCCAACAATGAGTTATTGATGTTTTCTGTTTTAAAGGAGTTTATAACCCTTTTTTACCCACGTTTTACTGTGGAAAAGTACGGAAGCTCCGAAAGCGTCTTACAACGAAATCAATGCCATTTTATCGGTGGAGTAAACGAGAAAGCATATTATTAGAGTAATGAAATTTTCTTTCTATCTAACAGGACCAATAAATGGCCGTAGAATGTAAAAGCATAACTTTCCTTTTATAAAAAGGATTACGTTCAAACTTCACATCTGTTTCTCTCTCTTCTAATTTTTTTTAGTTCCTTCCGTTTTCCTAGAAATGGCTAGGATGTCGTATCAACTTGGCAACGCTTGAATCGATGGAGCAATGCTCTTAGCCATGCACAACCTCAAAGTTCTTTCAGTTCTCCACTTTTTTCTTGAGAGGGAATAGAGAATCCCAAATTTGGCTCGTGGTCATATCTCGTATCTTATCTGTCCCGATAACTTCATAATTGTTTCCGTGGGCAACACATTTACGAGACCTTTTAAGATCTTCAAATTTGATCTTTGCTCTTCAGTCACTTTCCCTGCAAGTGAAAGTTTTTTGGTGTCTTACAAATGGCAGAAACCCGTCAATCTCATTGTCATTTGTTCAAGATAGCGCACAAAAGTTGCTTATCACTTCTAATTTCTATTGCTAACAGAAAGTGATTGCTTCCAGCAAATCGCTCTCATATTGCAAACATTATCCTTATAAATTATCGAACTATCTCATACACTCGTAAAGTTGTCACTTGAGAGTTTTCACAGCTTTTTGAATGCGAAGTCAGAGCATGAAACCAAATATTCCTTTTTTTTAATGAACAGTTGCTGAATGGTGTTTGCGCTCTCACAATTCACTTTTAACCATCTAGGCGCTTCATGTGCGTACTATGCTCCTCTACTAAAAAAACATTTACTATTTAAAACGATCATCTTGTATGCCGAACTTATACTTTTTGGTCGATTGATAGATCAGATTTTTTATGTGAATAAGACAGAATGAACTATGAAACTCAGAAAATTCCTCAAGCGTCCTAAATTTTTTTTGTCCCAGTCGTCTATTCTTTTATCCCTAATCGCATGACACGCACAACAAGTCCTCTTTAACTTTTTATTTTGAACGCCCATTCGATTCTCACCTTCTCTCTTGCACGTAAACATTACTGTTTTTTAGTGAAACGTCGATAGATGTTACAGACACTTCGCTACTACCTTTTCTTTGCCTTTGCTCATCTGCTTAGATGGAACCGGTGTATTTTGTTGAATATCTGTGCTAAATTTTCTCGACCTTCATGAGACATTAGACGCATATTGAATAGTCGAAAATCAAATGCAATCTGCTATGTTGAATGGACTATACGCATGACGTGAATCATGCGATCATAAAGCGGGTGAGATTTCATGACGCACGGGAGGTATAAATCGAAAGCGTCTGCATTTCTCGATGTCGCTGAATTCAAAATTTCTTGAGTAAATTATCAGAAGACTTTCCTCGTCATAAGCGTGCTCATACGTAAACTGTTACCCCTTGCTTTTATCCCTAGGTCTATTAAATAATTAATTCTTTACTGTTGTTGCTCGTATTTGAATTTATATTATTTATGATGACTATTAGGCCAATCCCCCTTTGCTTTTTGAAATGATGACTTAGTACAAGTACTTTTACATTTCTTGTTGTCCGTTTGCCTCTCTTATTTCTTTTCATTCGAAGAATTTTTTGGGCTTTTTTATCCCAAGAAATCATAACTTACGTGGAAAGCGTTTTGAAGTGATCCCATGTTTCGCCCTCAATAAAACTTCGAGGTCAAAATTCGCATCGAAACGGCTCTTGGGGCTGTTTTTACAATCTCATGGATACGTATGTAATCCAAGTTTGTTTTACCGTCATTCAGACCCAGTGGGGCTCCCAGAAGTTCCGTTTTGGGGGAGGGGAGGCGGGGGGGGGGAAGAAACTTTTTTGCATAATGGTGCGTAGTTTAAGCCACACGGTCCGAATATTTTGTAGAGATACTTCTTAAAATTTTTGCAGGACAGTATAAGCCCCTAAAAGGATTTTCGGAAGGTTTTTTTGGTTTTCAAAGGTATTCAGAGTTTATTCCAACTATTTACATGTATAAACAAGTCACTTGCATATTTTCGTAGCTCACGTGTATTTTTATAAATCATGTCAATTTGCAAAAATTACGCGACCCATTCTCGGGAAAATTATGTGATTATGGTTTGATAAAGAATTGACGTTATTAGGTCGACTTTCCTAATGTTTCTCTGATCCTGCAAGTCAAATATTGGCTATTTAAAGTTCTTTCATCATTTTCTGATAGATGGAAAATTTTTTAAGAAAAACGTTGTATCCACAAATGAACAGGTTTTCAGTTCTAGTTTGCTCAAGTTCGCTTTGTCTTGCGGATACAAGTTCTTATACTCTGTACTTTCTCCTACACAGGTAGAACCTTTATTCCTTTGCAGTTCAACTCAACAGGGTCCAGGATGGGTCAGCAGCGAGAGAGGGTCAAATTCGTGGCTTCCAAATGGCCACTAATTGTGGGGGTAACCGTAGCTGTGATAGTTCTGCTCTACATATTCCCTATCTTAATCCCAGCACTGCTTGCCGGTGGGGTCGTAGCCGCTTTTCTCTACAAAAACAAGCCATGCGACCCTGAAGATGTGAGCGATTAGCTTAATGAGTTTCGCGAAAGGCAAATAAGGGCCATCACTTCAGGTGCGCAAGTTTTTCGAAGGCTTCCGCATCGGCGGACATCGCGGTGCTCCCACATCATTTCCCGAGAATGGCATGGCCGGATTCAATCAGGTATGCCCAAAGCTTACCCCTTGCTGTGATTTAACACTTTGTCAATTCCGCAGGCAAAAATAGATGGGGCTGATTTGATCGAATTCGATGTGGCGCTGACGAAAGACGGTGAAGCCGTGCTCCTACACGACGACGACCTGGATCGAACCACAAACCTCACCGGTCCGATACGTGATAAGACTCTGGCTCAGCTTGCCCGTGCTAATATTAGTGCACACTTCACCAGATCAACGTACAATTGCTTCTTCGCTTGCTGTCAATGCTGTGACAGGCTCGCCTTTCAGTATCTAACGAGAGTAATTTAGAAAAGGAAACCTGCCACCGGTAAAGGAGGAGGGTATTCCGAAGCTGGAGACGGTTGTAAAATGGGCAGTGGAGAACAAAATGAGGATGCTGTTCGATGTAAAGGACTCAGATCCAGAGGTAGGAAAGTTTAATAACCAAATAAAAAGAAACCTCCATTATACGGTGCTGGTCAAAAATTTCCAAACATTTTCCAAAACTGTCATAACTTGCTTCTTTATGCAGGCTATGAGCTTAAGCTTACCATTATGTACAGTAAACGCTGTTTCGTGCTAGATCCTTGTTATTTCATGCCCCACAGAAGGCAAGAACAGAAGAACTGGTGAAAATTGAAGACTCAAAACTCGCAGCCAAGGTCTACCAAGTTTGGCTCAATAAGGCGATAATTCGACTGGGTAGCTTATATCTGGGGATGCTGACCAATTCTTAGGTCGCAACCACACGAATTATTTCAAAAAAGAGCGCATTGCAATGCTACAAAAGCAGAATCGGTTTAACATCAGAACAGCTCTAAAAATTGGATGGACGCACTTTGTTCTTGACAAGTATCTGGCAGATCGAACTCACATGGAAGAGCCAAGGCAAACAGCCCAACGGCAGCCGTCATGAGCAGTGAAATAAGCCGTACTTGGCCATCACATCCGGTGGTTTGAGCACTGCTGGCAGCCTGAATACTTAGATGTGGGCAGGGTTCGCAACTTCTAATATCTTCCTAACCAAGATATCTTTTGCTGGCGGTTGACAAGATCTCATTAAAAAAATTGTCTCGACTTTGCCGAAGGAATTCTTACCTGGAAGTTCAACACAATGTACCAAACTTGTTTTCACATCTGCCCCTTTTTTTTTTCTAAACTTATCGATGACTTTGATCGGACAGAAAAGTTCAGTCAACAAGGTCCAGACGGACTGATGCAATACTGGCACGACTCAGGTAAAGAAGCGCGATATTTCTTGAAACGTAATGTGACAGGGGCAACGTGATGTGCAGGAAACTTTTGATACCATTGCATCCCTCAGATTATGTTATTATGCGAGATAATGCTTCCTCACTATATTAGTGGATCACCCCTCATAAAAATTTATCCGATTTTATCGTTCGCAAAGTTTACTGCAGTGGTAGACAGTTTACTTCACACATAGTTAGCACCGAATGATTTTCGAATATTGGTATTTGAATGGTTAACTCGAACTAGAGAAGTCAAATATTCAGGAAAACGCACTTATTCTATTACTTGAATAGGCGAGTAAATGAAAAACACTTTTATTCGAATGTTTGTTTATTCGACGAATCGAATAAACAATTTATTCGAAAATTATTCGAATATTCGAATTTTCGAATAAAATTTCGAATAAGTTGTTTATCCGATTCGTCGAATAAACAAACATTCGAATAAAAGTGTTTTTCATTTACTCGCCTATTCGAGTAATAGAATAAGTGCGTTTTCCAGAATATTCGACTTCTCTAGTTCGAGTAAACCATTCGAATACGAATATTCGAAAATTATTCGGTGCTAACTATAGAACATACCCGCCCAAACCCTCGCCAGCTTAGCTAGCTGCTTCTAGACAGCTCGTCAAGATTGTTAGATGCAAGGGCTCAACTACAGACCACTGGGTTTTTTGTTGAGTAGTTTGTAATTGTATAACTTTCAGTGGCTGCAGGTTCTGTCCAACTTCCTTTCAACTTTTCTATATTCTTCTCATGTTTCGAAGGAATTGATGAAAGAATGTTCATTAAGTTTATCGGTAAACTCAGCCACTGTAGAGAGTTTGGACGCACTTCAGTTATCACTATTCCGATGCCGCAAAAAACGAGTGCCTGCAAATTTCTGACCAGCACTGTATCAACTAAATTCTTGCAATTCATTCGCATGTTTGTTGAATTAGTGCACTTTACTTTCATTTTCACTGAATATGCTCGAGGCGTTCCATATAAGATAACAAACAATGAAAGCTATTAGTCTAGTCTACACTGAATACAAGCAGTATCAGAAAAATTACTGCTTCTGGCCCAGCCTTCAATTGAACTAGAGAAGTAACGATTTAGCCTGCTGACGACTGCTAAATGACTCATTCATATGCATAAGTTGCAATTAATTGTCATTACTAACTATCACATCAGTTACCTACGCGAACAAAATACGTCTGCGGCGCGTCTAAAAAGCTTTTGAGTGGGTAAGGGAACGAAGGCCGCCAGTTTGAGCCGCCCTTCGCGGCCAAGTGGTCCTTTTGCAGTGTTGTTGCATGTCTTTCCAAGACAATTAGTCCACGGAGACGGCCCAAACTGGCGGCTTTCGTTTCCCTACCTCCTGTCGCAGGAGGAGGACGTGTGCACCAAATAAGGGCAGACATTTAAAACGAGCCACCGCAGCTCGTACTTTGTAACATCGGTGGCTAACGCTCATCACTTACAAACATCATCGTTCAAATTTAGCTGGTGAAGATTATCGATGAACTGTTTGAGAAGTATAAGCTTTACGATAAAGCTATCGTGTGCAGCTTCTTCCCATGGGTTGTCTACCTTGTCAAACAAGGAAACCAAAAAATTCTCAGCGGTAATTTCTTCATGATAAGCCCTTATTAATCTCTCGACTGCAACAAACGTGATGTTTTAGGACTCACCTGGCGACGTAGGTTCTTCTCCTACAAGGATATCGAGAATACAATACCGCGCTATAGTGGACCGAAGCATTATCTTTTTGTTCTGATCGACAAGGTTCACGTATACTTATTGCAAACGCTCATTCCATGGTTTCTGGGAGCAGATTTGCTGTTGACAAATCACCTGGATATCTCCAAGTAATCTCAGAATCTTCTTTCTTTACAACTTGAGAGATTCGACCATTTTTCAGGACATTTGTTAGAGATCAGCACAGCCGCGGACTGCATGTCGCAGTTTGGACTGTCAATGACATTGCAGAAATGCACTGGATGGTGGATGAACTGCAGATTCCTATTCTTACCGATCACTCATCCTATGTCAAGATCATGGACCATTTGAAGAAGATTAGGGAAAAAGACTATAACGAGCAAGCCTTGCAAGCTGCCGTATCTAGTGTGGTTGTACCTTGACCTCATATCACTTCTTGTAGACTTCCTTTGTAGCCTTAACAATCCGCACTGCTCACGTCTATCTACGGTTATTTTAGACACCTTAAAACACATCATAGTGGTTGCCTTCCTCACTTTCCTAAAAAAAACTTTTCAACTATTCTCAGCAGCTGTAGTTCACTTATAAGGGCATTTCTACTTTAGAGGGTCTAACTTTTCGCTTAGATCGATAAAATCACTGGGTTAGATTGTGATCTATCTTCCAAAGAGCAATTTGTAGCCTGTAGTGCCAAAGAGCTGGTTTTTCGCAAAAGAATATTCCATTATCAAAGGCATAGACTTTCCTTTGTAGAACGAGTAATGCCAGTAATGTATGATTGTTTATACTTTCAAATAAATTTGAATCAATATCGCTGTATTTTCGTGGGTCATAGATGATCCTTGTAGAGACACCTCAACAGAGCTTCATTTTGTTTGAATGGAGTTGATATTCAGGAACCAACACGAGCTGGCAAGTCGACTTGTGAGTCAAGTTAGCTAAATGAAAGCGGAATGGTTCCATGTACGATAAAATTTGTTGGAGTTCTGCCAAATAACTCAAGAAAAAGATGATCTTGATGACGCTCATAAAACTAGAGACAGGGAGTCAAAAGTGAAGATTGTTTGGATATCTGCCCCCCCCCTCCCTCCCCCATAGAAGTGAAGGCTGTTTATAGAAAGTTAAAATAAAGAAAAAGAAGATGCAAAGCAGATAATAAAAGCAAAAGAAGCTTTTAAAATCCGAATAAAAACGCTGCAATGCGTTTGGAACTGGGCGTCATTTCGAGGTGCAGGTTTTCCTATCAGTATCAATCCAAATACTGGAAAACAAAAAAAAGTTAATTCTTCGTATGTGATTGTTTAAAATATAATATAACCATCAGAAGTGGTGACTATCAAGAAGTGAACCACATGCTCGCCCAGTGATTCTCTGCTAAACCAAAATTGCAAGGAAAGGACTTGGCTGTAATTGGCTATTGCTTGTTTTTTCTTGGCGTTGTCAAAAAGAAAATAAACAAGAAAGGTCTTGGTTATGAGGATGCAAAGTTTCTTTTCCACTACAAGTCGAAATGGAGTCAAAACCAAATCCAGTTTAAAAAGGTGCAAAATATCTAGGTCCCGAACTGTTTTTGCTGATGTATATAGGCCACGGCTGTTCCGGTGCTCTAGCCATTTTGGGACTTTGTGAGCCAGCTTTTTCCTGATTACGGGTCCCCCTGATAGTTCCGCCGGGTGCACTACATGGGCCTTGGTGATTCGCTTTTTCGCTGCACCAGAAGGCTCAGGAGGAATAGCAGGGCCGTATGAGCCCTGTTGCTCTTCCCAGGGCCCGGCACGAGGTCGGCAAATGACAAGCTAGAAATCGTTTTGGGGCCAAAAAGCAAAGGGGAAATCGTTTTTGCGGGGTCCGGGGCGGAGCCCCGGAAAAAAATTGGTAGTTCATGCTCGCTACTTATCTTGACATGTTATGTGCCTCAACAGGCGAACACTGGAGTTCGCGCGCGTCAAACCGCGCCGTCGCTAATTGCCGCACGCGCGACGTCGCCCAAGCGATGCTATTTGTAACAGCATACATGACTAGTTCTCAAGGTATGTGTAACGATATGACACCAAATTTTGTATGCGAACGGAGAGAGGCTAGTGGAAACATAGTATGAAAAATTATGAAAAACTTATGTGAACAGAACGAGTAATTAGCATTTTTTCCGAGAGTTTCGCAAAACTGGCAGATGAAGATGTGAATTCAAACGGCTCGTTTAACCGCGCAAATGAACGATATGGTATGAAACTTGGTAAGTATATGCACACGGGCTTGCAGGGCTTAACTGAGGAGTTTCATTGAAAAATTATGTGACTTAAGGTTGCGGCAAACTTTTTTCTGAAAATTTTGCGCTACCAAAGAAATGGAAAAATGGCTCGTTTGCAACGCAGAGGTAACGAAATCGCGCGGGATTCGGTGTGTATATGCGCAATAGGACTAAGTAATAAAGTATGAAATATTATGAAAAACTTATGTGAATGAAGAGCGTGCTTAACTAATTTCCAAATTAGGTCGGCATTTGCCGACCTAATTCCCACCTGAGGTCGGCAAAACTCTCAATTCACATAATTTTTTCAAAATTTTTGCATAAATCTGTTGTACACCTAAAGTTTACTACATGGTGAAATTTTGGTTCCGAAACTCCTCCTCTTTTCCTTGTTAGAGCCCAAAATCGCATCAGCAGCCTAGCTTTCTAAGATGGAAAGCGCGCCCCAGTCAATACGCGCGGGAACGGCGTCTCTCATTCCTATGACTTCGTTTATTTGATATTTTCTCATTCCTTAATCAATTTTCTTGCTTATTTTTCTTCCTGTTTCCTATCTTGATACAGCTGAGGAGTAATTTGAGGAATTTGAGCAATTTGGGCGCTTTTGAGCGCTTTTAGGCGAAGTATGGCCGGTAATCTCGTCGCACAAGCACAAAACGTCATTTTTGAGCTCAAGGGGGTATTCGTTTTATTGGGTTCAAAGGGGAATTCGTTTTGGAAAACCCCGTTTGCCCACCTCGTGCCGGGCCCTGGCTCTTCCTCCCGGGCCGACCCACACATGGAACACTGCGGCGGAAAGATTGTTGACCGTTAGGACTTAATGGACAATTGGGCCACAAGTCCACTGTCAGTGCTATTGAGTTCGCTTATCATCGCGTCCATTTCTTGGTGCGCCAGGTATGTAGTGCGCAATTGCCAATGCAGCGTAAGTATTCGTACCTCTCGAACTAGCGAGAGGGATTATAATTTCCGATTAATATTACAGCTTGCAAGGAACTTATAGCTGTTTTTGAAACGAGCGATGTCGCAAAATGCAGATGATTCACAAGATGGCGAGATCAAGGCAGGAGAATTTTTCTGTAATTTTCCTTGCGCTTTTCATGATCTAGAAGAACAAACATTCACAAGGGAATGATACGAAGTCAAAGCCATTATTTACAGCAAGCCGCATATCAATGAATGCAGCTTAGAACGCTTGATCCAAACCTGCTTCTTCATAGGGAAGTTTCAAGCAAATATAGCGCAAAGTAATCGTGTATGCAAAATGCACTTTGGACAAGATCCCACAGCTTGACGCTGAGCCAAAACAAGCAGGTAGGTTTCCTAATAGAGTGCACGCCAGGAGGAGCTAATTGTAAGAAGTTATTTGTGGAGATGCTTGAGAAGTTGGAAGACTTACGCCACAGAAGAAAGCCTAACCCACCTCCGCATTCTAAACTATAAGCTAAAGTGCTCATGCCGCTACTCGAGATGCTAATTTTACAACAACTCTGCGCCTCAGCATTGGCGACTGCTTCAATCCAGCCGTTTTCGCCCAACGGATAACTCATGCGAGTGAAGAAGTTAGAGGCTGAGTTTTTTTTCGAACGGGCACTGTCATAACAGGTCCAACATGGGTCAACACGCGTAAAGGGTCAAGATCGTGGCTTTGAAATGGCAGAGAGTTGTGGGAATGCTCAGAATGCCTATACTAACTTGCTGTTATGGTTTGTCTCTGCTTACTCGTAATCCTCATCTCGGCACTGCTTGCTTGTGGTATCGCAGCTGCTATTCTTTACAAAAACAAGCCGTGCGACCCTGAAGATGTGAGTGGCTTGGATTAGTGCACAGAAGCGTAAAAGGGTCATCACCAGGTGCGCAAATTTTTCGAAGGTTTTCGTATCTGCGGACATCGCGGTGCTCCCACATCATTTCCTGAAAACGGAATGGCTGGATTCAATCAGGTAAGTGTAAGAATTTGCTCAGCAGTAAGTTATGGACTTGTCCAACATTGCAGGCGAAGACCGACGGAGCTGATTCAATCGAATTCGATATAGCCTTAACAAAAGACGGTGAAGCTGTACTTTTGCACGACGACCTAGATCGAACCACAAACCTCACCGGTCCGATACGTGAGAAGATTCTGGCTGAGCTTGCCCGTGCTAATATTAGTGCGCACTTCACCAGATCAACGTATAATGGCTTCTTCTCTTGTTCTCAATGCTTTGAGGGGCTCTATTCCCGGTGATACGAGAGTAATTTAGAAGGGCAAACCTGCCACCGGTAAAGCAGGAGGGTATTCCGAAGTTGGAGACGGTCGTGAAGTGGGCAGTAGAGAACAAAATGAAGATGATTTTTGATGTGAAGGATTCAGATCGCGAGGTACTGTCATTTTATTGGAGATTGAATTTTATTCTAGCATACCCAAAGTACTTTTCTGAAATTAGGACACTCGAAGACGTTTTGCACACGTGTGACTAGCAAGTTCATACTTGTGCTTTATATTTTGCATGATTACCCAAAATTAAGAACAAGTAATAGCAGCTTGTTAAAGAACGTCTACGTTCAACGTTCTCGATTCTCCTAGATTTAGAAAAAGGTATTGTCTGCTTGCTTGCCATAGGGTAGGCAAAATATTGCTTGAAAACGTATGACAATTTTTGTTAGCAAGAGATCATACGATAAGCAATGCATGAAAATGGAGTTTCTTTGAGACAGCGTGTTAAAATGTCTGGAATGCTCCTGTAAGTTTATGATAAACAAATAGAAGGTATCTTTGCCAATGTATGCTTTTTGGATGCTTAGGCTATCCGCCGAGAAATTCAAGGGCACTAATTTCCTTGGTATCTCGTGACAAACTCTTCATGAATCTTGGCATTTTCAAGACAACCTTTTTTTGCTTTGACCATATTCAAATATTGTTACAAATTTTTACTGGACAAGGGTTTCATTGATGCTCTGAAATTCGCATCATTTAAAGAAGTTCTTCAGCGCAAGCAGACGGCTACTCCGAGAGTGCAGCTTAGCTGCAGAGCAACTCTTCAGGGTGATGCCAGTTCTGACAAGGTGCCTTTCTGCTTACCCTTTCCTTTGCATCGGATGAACTGAGTAAGGCGATTAGAGTATGCGTAAAAAGGTCTTGCTGGTTTTAGAAGTCCCTTCTCCTAATTGTAAGCAATGTTTGGCTGAAACAGAGCAAGCGAACAAATTTATGCAACAGCAGTTTGCATAGCAGGTTACCATAACATCGAAGTTATTTAGGAACGATTACAATGGTGAAACGGGGAGACAGCTATGCATAAGGATAAAGGAACACGTGGATAGGGCTGAAAGGCAACTAGATATCTCCTACTCTGGCCACGTATAGAAAGATGCGCCATTGAAATGCAGAGTTTGACATCCGTTTGTCGAGTCTATCATGAGGAACTGAGGTGGCGGCCGAAAAACCTTGCAAGCTTGGTAGATTTCTACCAAAAAAATCAATATGAACAAGAAAGAGAAATGCTTAGCCTTGACTAACGAACATGGGCCACATGTAGAGCTACGCTTGTTCTGACCTATACCCGAATAGCCTAGGGTTCTCTTCCATCCCTAGCGCTGACACACAGCTCAGACAATCGCAAATGGCTTCCGGGGAAAACTGAACTTCTAAGACTTCATAGGGCGGACGCTTTGGAATTTGGCAGATTTGAAATCACTGCTTAGTACTCTTCGAAGCAGTATGTGTCTCATCTGGAAAGGCCACTTCGACTCATGCTCGCACGGACGCTGCTATTGGGCCGTGTGGGTGGCCCCGCCCTATCTGGCAGCTCCAATAGGAGTGTTCCCCGGAAGTTTTAGAACTCCAGTTTTCCCTGGAAGTCATTTCCGGTTGTCTGAGAAGGCAAGCCAGCGGCGCGTTGCAACGCCTTTGAGTCGCATGTTCATGTGCTTAGGATGGGCAGATAGCCAGACCCACGCAGATTCTCTCAACGTTGCTATGTCAGAGTGCAAATCATCATCACTCTATTTTAGCTAGTGAAGATCATCGATGAATTGTTCAAGAAGTACCAGCTCTACGATAAAGCTATTGTGTGCAGCTTCTTCCCATGGGTTCTCTACCTTGTAAAACAAGCAAATCACAAGATTCTCAGCGGTATTCTTTTCTTACTAACTCACAGTTATCCTAAATACACGTAGAAATTCACAGGGCTTACCTGGCGTCGGAGATTATTATCGTATAAGGATGCGGAAAACACCGTGCCACGCTATAGTGGGCCAAAACATTATCTCTTCGTCTTACTCGACAAGATTTACGTGTGTTTGCTGCAATCCGTCATTCCATGGTTTTTGGGGGCAGATTTGCTGCTGACAAGTCACCTGGAGATCTCTAAGTAGGCTTAGAAATAATTCGTTTTTCATTATATGAAACACAGGTTTTTAGGACATTCGTTAGAGAACAACACAACCGCGGAAGGCATGTCGTTGCTTGGACTATTAATGACATTGCTGAAATGCATTGGATGGTGGATGAGTTGCAGATCCCTATCCTTACTGACTACTCATCCTATGTCAAGATCATGGACCTTTTAAAGAAAATTAGAGAAAAAGGCTATAATGAGCAAGCCTTACGAGCTGCTGTATCTGCTGCAGTTCCAAGTTAACTTCATATCATTTTTTGTAGACTTTTCTTTATAGCCTTGACAAAATGACAGACACTGTCAACATTTATTCAATTCATTCTAAGCATTTTGAAGCACATCGGATCTAATGATTCTCACTTTCTTTTAGACTGTGCAAAAAACGTAATTTGAATGCGTTTACACTTCTATAGCTCACTTTCATTTTTTTTGAAACACTTCTCCTCTGAGGATCTAATTTTTCGCTTGACTAATAGAATCATCGACTAAGATTGTCACATCTTCCAAGAAAAATTATAGCCTACGGGGCCAAAAAGCTGTGTGTGTGTGTGTTGCAGAAACATCATTTCTGTACTCCTGCAATCAGTTTTACTGATCTCTACATATAGTGATATGCTTAAGGATTTGATAAAAAAATTTATTCTGTTCAAAATGAGGTTTAATATCCAGGGGCAAGTCTTGCTGGAGGACAGTGCTCGCATGATCCGGGTGCTCCATTCTCTCCATTAGGCCCAGGTGGTCCGGGTTGTCCATTCTGTCCTGGCTGTCCGGGTGGTCCAGCCATTCCGGGTGGACCTTGTGGGCCAGGTTTTCCGTCGTTACCGGGTCCTCCTGGTGGTCCTGGTTGTCCCGGTGGTCCAGGACGTCCAGGTGCTCCAGGTCTACCAGGTGGTCCCACTTCGGTCTTGTATGTTCCGGGTTCACCAGGCGGTCCAGGACGTCCGGCTGGCCCAGTGGGTCCCGGCATGCCGGGAGCACCACGTGGGCCTTGATCACCGGGTTTTCCATCTTCTCCGGGTGCACCAGGAGGCCCAGGTGGACCGTCCGGGCCTTGCTGTCCTTTCGGTCCTGGCTCGCCAGGTGGTGCCTCACATGGGCACTGCGGAGGGAAGAGTGTCGAAGCGTCAGGACCTGGTGGAGCCGGTGGGCCAGGAGGTCCAATATCACCTGGGGTGCCATCAAGTCCATCAATGCCATCTCGTCCAGGATCTCCGGGTGGACCAGGTGGTCCGCGATTGCAGGTGCAGCCTAAAGGATCGGTCATATTGGAGGGTAGAAAGCTACACAGTAGGACTTACATCCTTGTGCTCCTCCTCCGATCGGGCCAGCAGTCTCTACAGCAGCAGAAGGGGTGTCATATCCAACTGGCTCGTCACGAAGTTCTTGATCGTGCAGACGACGGGCCCAGAAATCCGCTAGTGTGTCTCTGCAATTAAGGCTTAGAAGAAAGCAACCGGAAAGAGCTAGTAGAAAGCAAAGTCACCTCTTTTCTATCCTTCTATGACTCATCACGATGTCAGCCAGTTTAGCAACATCACGTCTTCCACCGGTTTCTATGTTTAGCATCTCCTTCCACATGTCGCGAGCCCGGGCCTGAGAGATAGAGATCGTAGATTCTTCATAAACAAACTCTCTGCTTCGCATCTTTTTTTCACCTGGCAGTATTCGAGGTCAAGTTGAACTTGAGATTCAAGTGTCTGCACGTAGTGCAAGATCATCGGAAAGGTAAGGAGACAACTCGTCAACGCGACCGTCGAGAAGACGACGGCCGCGAAGGCGACCGGTCGGAGCGAAGGCCGCTCCTCTTTTTCCGACATACCTAAAAGTACTCAAGCAGTAAAAGAATGAATGAGACAAGCAACTTAAGCGTTCAGCGGTGAGGACTCGACTTTTTCGAGAGTTCAAGATGCTCGTGCAAGATCACGTATTGAGAGGACGCTTGAATTACCAAGTTTACCGTAGCAACCACTTCTAATGCTGATACTTTGCGTATTTTTTGGAGATGTAGGTAACTAGGAAGAGCGAAATGAATTCATTTGTTTTGAAGCAAGTGAGATGACTTTTCATGTATCCGTTTCTTCGAAAATGTAGATTTTGTTTCCTCTGCCTGGGTAGGTTCCGGTTCCAGTTTTGGAGAGACAACAGAGAGGTAGTACACTTGTTCGGATTCAACAAAAATTCATCAAAAATTTGTCACATCACTCTGTCTCTTGATTCCAACGATTACTTTGAACATTTAATTTGACTTTTTTGTATGTTTTTCGAGAGATGAGATGGAGTACTGAGGTGATGATTTGTGAAAAAAAAAACTTCTTATTGAGACGACAAAAATTCCGACTTAATCGTCACACTTCTAGAAATAATTCGAGTTTTTAAGCGGGTGCTGTAGAGAGATAAGATTTCAAGATTGGATATGAAGCGGGATTGTTTGAAGCGAATGTAGGGGCGATTTCGTGGTGAAGCTATGACAACTACAAAGATTATTTGGGGGGTTTTTTTGGAAATACCAGAGTGGCACTGGAAACTCTTCTGTCGAAAAGGAACGCTCAGGGCAGATTTGGTTATTTTTAAGAGTCGCATTGTGAATAAGAGATGAGTTTTATGCGAAAACTTCGCTGTAGAGAAGTACCATAACCCAAACCAAGGCATTGTAGATGGATGGCAATTGGTTGATAAGAAGAAGACGCATAGCGGGCGAAGCAAGAAGCAGCGAGCGATGATTAAGGTAGGGGCGAAGACTGGAAGCTGAGTGGAAGCAACGACGATGACAGCAGCAGTAGAAGCAAGTCCTCAGCCCTCTTATATCCAGCGCCGACTGGTCTCAGCGTTCCACCAGCGCGCACACGCGGTCGCTGTTCACTCCGCGAATCGCGCGCGCTCTCCGTCGCCGCACGCCGGCGTCTCCGCACTTCGCGCGTTGCCGCCGACGACGTCTGACCGGCAAAGTGGTGGGGAAGCACCGATGTGCGAAGGCTTTTTACGAAAACGAGCAAAAACGCATAGACGTGAAGTAGAAAGACGAGCTGACACCACTATCTACATTGCTTGCTCGGCTTCGAAGCGACCGTTTGCCTTTTTCTGATGAGGCAACGACTTTCTGGGAAAGCTTTCTGGTTGAACTGGACCGCAAATGCTAATGAATATGATGTGGACTGGTTGCAGTGATTTTCTTGTATATTGTCATTGTCTTGATGGAGCAGATACCTTCGGCATGATTTCGGTACTATCAAACAATCTTGCAGACATAAGGCGTAAAGAAAGTTCTGCCAATAGAGGTCGAGCTAAGTTGTTTCTTTATATCTTCAACATAATAGCTGTCAATCAACGATATTTTAGTCATGTACTGATAAGCTCAGACTACTGATTATGTATATCATGGGTGTTTTCCTCCAAGAAGGTCGCTGACTGCGTTTCAAAACAGCTAGAAAGTTCGATTTTTTGAGCTCTGAAATCAATGAGCTAATTTTTGCTTGGAGAAAGATCCAAATACCGAACCAAGTTATAGACGAATATCGCTTCATCTAAACAATAGAGAGTATAAAACGGTTTTTTGAATCGAGCTTCTGCAAGTTCTGCGCGTCTATAATCCGAAAAACGTGCGTTTTCGCAGACCTAAGCGCAACGGATTTTCCTCTTTTTTGGCATTTTTTCTTGTTTCATAGTCATTTTTTCAAGCTGAATAGTGTATCTGGTAGCTGAGCCAATCGCACACTAAAAACACACCCCAAAACAGCGTCTTGCATTCGCGTTCATTTTTGGCAGAAACGGGAGAATTGGCAAAACTTTCTTTACAACCTAATAAAAAAATCTCCATCATTCTGCCAATGACTCATGAATTAAAGAGGAAAATTATTTACCAGGGCAGCGCGTCAAAAGATTCAAACTTCGGCGATTTGCTTTAGTTGGGAAATAGAATTTTTTATGCATGTATGTTTTAGTGGCAGCACCAGGATTTCCGTTCGAAAGGAAATCCGACAAACATTTGTTCAGTTTCGCTTATCCGAAGATTTTTTTCGATATGCGTTTCGCAGTTGCAGCCTGGTAATCAGAAAAACTTTTTACGAGGCTAATTTGAGTTTTCGTAGAAAAATCATCCTAATTATATTACTTACAGGTACAAGGTCACTCGCACTTTTTATAACTCATGTAAGTAATTTTCAGATTTCGCGAGCATCCTCGAGCTTGATCAAAACGGATAACCATGGTACTGCATTTTTATAAACTTATATCTTCTTTTTGTTAGGTTTTTAGCCTTTGCGTCAGATTATCGAAGAAATTTGCGGATCTTGATCTTGAAAATTATCCTTTGGTACTGAGTCATAAAGCCATAACATTCTATTATTCTATTAGAGTGGTTAGACAGGAGCTTCTAAACAGCTTGGCATAACTAGTTCTGTATGCGCAATCCTGATGTAAGAAAACTATGCTTGATGCTTTCGTAAAGCTAAGGGAGGCGATAAAAATCAGCCTACCTGGTAATTATGCCCATCTCATTTTACTACTCATTACTTTTTATCACTTTTTTCCTTGAGTACTTTATCATGACCAAGATAACTTTTCATCCAGCCTGGCTTGAGAGACTAAGTTTTCTCGCAAACTTTCCTTTCATTTCCACTTTCGCTGTACGCGTTAGAGTAGCAAGTTTTTTTCTGACCTTACACCAAGTTCTTGGCGGTTAAGAACGTCTCACTTCATTGTTCGCCCGTTCTGAACTCAAAGGCAAGTCGATTAAAAAAAAAACGTTGTCTAACTCAAACTCAACTGCCCGTAAACCATTCCTTGTACGTTGTTAAACGAAGCATTACCAATTTAGGGTTGAGACGTTTGCGCATAGTAAGAAAGAGGGTAAGATGGTGGAAGTGATTGCTTCCCCATCGTCAAACATATAGGGAGGAGGACTGGCCGACAAAATCATGCCATTGCATGCCATTTTTAAAGTGATTCTTCATCTTGCATCAGTAGCGATCCAAAATGCCGCTCGGGAAGGGGGACAGCAAATTCTTTTTGCAAATGAAGATTTCGAAAAATATTTTGGGGTGTTTCCTTTTTGCGCGCTCATAGCCCGGAAATTTCAGAAATAGGATCTTGGGATCAACCACGCCCTAAAAAATTTTTTTGCAAGGCTAATTTGAGTTTTTGATAAGTTAAAATCAAAATAATTCACAAGTGCAAACAAATCTTTTGCACATTTCTATAACTGCCTTCAGAAAAAGATCCTAATGTTTCGATTCTTATCTTATCGCTCTAGCCTGCCATAAAAATTGAGATTGATGGGATCTATTTCACCAGCTTATTTGATTACATACTTACTTATTTAGCAACTCTTCTTTGCAACTTTCTAACGACTTATCCAATTATTTAAAATCTATTTTCGCTCAAAGTGCAGTAGCCATTTTCACTATTTAACCTGCAAAATCGGAGTAGATTTGATCCAGTAAGTTTCGCTTTGATATCTTCCAAAAGCACTAAGAAGAAGTCTTGTAAAGCCTCAATCACCGAATTTTGTTCGATACACATCATTAATGTGCAACTACTTCGGTTAAAAAACTTGATAAAAAATAGAATTGGAAAAGCTCGCATAACGTCAGAATGATAGCACCGTGCGGAGTTGTTAAAAAAATGGCAGAATGAAAAAATATGACAATTAATCATGAGTCATCCTTGTACAAACAGCGTCGGTCACATGTTTTTGCATGGAAAGTATGTAGTTGAAATTTTAGAGGTTTTTGATTTCTTTGTTTGAGCTAACAGTCCTCTCCAATCATTGGGAGGAACCGTCATGTGCTGCACCAACTGGGGCCACAAATTTTAGAAATAGCAAAAGTTTCGTCTCGCGCAGAAAGTGTGTGACAGTTCCTGCAAATAAACGAGATTTGCAAGGTCTCCACGATCTTTGATCAATGAAATATATGAGCGTTTGCAGAATTGGTCAGATGCATGTTTAAAAAAAATTCGGTGGGTTGGTTACTTCCCGTTAACAGCTTACTCCGTTAACAGACTCTGCTTGCGTCGGCACTGATTTTTCTTCGAAATTTATAATACTTCTTCATCGTTTCAGTCGTGTGTTCTCGTCATCTTCACGACCGAAAAAGAGAAGGTCAGAGTACCTAACTCTAAGTGTTCAAAGGAAACAAGAGAGAAAAACCGGAAGCAGGGTGAAAGAGCAAACTGTGACTGCATTCATTCCTAGAACAGCCTTCAAACAGATTTTGAAGATAAGAAAAACTTGATGCTCTGCTTTAACGAATTGTGACGACATTTACTCACAACAAAGCAACAAGTGCCATGGCGTCTATATTGCTCCTAGAGCGAAAAATCGTCTCCGCAAATCTGTGACTCACAAGGGAAGGATACCAGGTCGCAGTGGCGAACAGTAATGATATACATACCATTGAATGCGTCTTTAAGAGCTGATCCCAAATCTACCTTTCTCATCTGCTATGAGCTTCTCTAGAAGAAGCTATGGGCGTTCGAAGATGCGAAATTGTTGGAATTCTAATGCTTAATGCGCTTCAAAAACTAGCTTAGGAGTTATCAAATTGCATGGTTTTGTGTAGACTGATTACATGCATACATACATCGAACACATGAGTAAGCGTCCTTTAACAAATAGTTTTTGGAGTGAATGTTTACTGAATTTGGACATTTAAACGCCCATAGCTTCTCCTAGAGGAGCTTGTAGCAGATAGGAAAGGTAGATTTGGAATCAGCTCATCAAAACGCATTCAATGGCATGCATATCATTTCGGTTCGCCACTGCGGTCTGGTATCCTTCCCTTGTCAGATGCCGCTTTTAAGCGAGCGCAACTAGCCCTCGTTATTGTTAGCACTATATTGCACACATCTGTTCATTATGATCCTAATGCACCATAACGACTCTGCTTCTTTGGCCTTAGCACACTCAGCGTCTACTATCCATCCTAAGCATGAAAGGGGGTAGGGGACTATATGTCGCCGATAGGCTTCACCCCGCGCGGACAGCTGGCACATCCGTACTGTGCGAAATATGTGGTGCTGCGTACTTTGTCGCGGATGTCCGCGTGAGATCACCTCCTTTGGCGACATAAAGTCCTCCACCCCATGAAAGCCCTTTTTGCTATCTTCACGCTCTTCAACTGTTTTGCCATAGCCCCCGCATTCTACCTATATTAATTTTACAAGTATAAACAAGTCTCATAACTTTATAACTTAAGTACTTTCAAGAATTTCGCTCTATTCTAATGGGAGAGGAGGAGGCGCCGTCCTCCCTCGCCGGACCACCACTGAGTTTAGCGGATAAGCCGAGGTTGGCCGGAACTCCGAAAATCGGCCTAGACGGACTTTAAACACAGCCCGTTGTTGCTGTTGATGTGGGCAGTAGCTGCTAACAAATTTACTTACTAAACTCTAGGATGCAATGCAAAGTCAGCATATACTTCAATAAATGATACTCTGACAACTAAGTCTGATTTCAAGCGCCAACATAACAAAAATTAACAATCAATGTTCTTATCGTTAGATGGATACACTCCTGTGGTGCCAAGATTCGGCGGTAGGTTTTCGCTGAACCAATATCAACGTCTGAAATGCCTGCACCCTGCTCGTGAAGACCCCTGCATTTCAGGGAAATTAGATAGCTATTTTCCACACGCAATTTTTATCGCTCAATCTTGCCAACACAAAAGCACTAATCCACTCAACTGAAGGTGCCAAAAATGTTAGTAACAAATGACAAACATTTTATGATGTTTATTGACGAGTAAGCCATCCAATTAGTATCCAAGTTGTTTCCTCATGAGAGCAGTCACCAGTTTAAAGGGGCGGTCTTCAATCTCTTTGAGTTGATCAGCATTAAGATTTATTTGATCTCCTTTCATACGATTCAAAAGCGTAACACAGACAACTGCCGCTAAAATTTTATCACAATAAGACAAAAGTCTTTACTGTACCACCTCGACATTTTCGAAAAAAGTACCTTTACATCCAGCGCGATACGTCATTGACGAAAAGCAGGCGCTCTCCATTTCGATGTTTCGTACACCCCTATCATGTAATTTTCTCAGAAATTCCATTTTATCATCGCTTTTGTATTCACATAGGAAACCGTCAAGGCGCATTTGTCCTGAAAACTCTTTCAACTCCTCTCATAAAAACAATATAATGTCTATCAACCTTCATAGAATTCATCAGCACACATGGTGTACCCAACTTCAACGGGAATATTTTTTTCTTTTGCCACCGCAATAAGATCCTTTTGGAGGCCTTCGTCGAGAAACGTATCACGTTCCACCTAAAGTCTTTTCAAAAAAAATTCGTTCTTACAAGTTATCTCATTATTCCAACAGACAACACTCGAAGCTTTCTGCTTGTAATACTTGATGCTGCTTACCCTCTCCGCAGCAATCCACTGCACGTATTTTTCATTCAATTCACCATTAAGTGGTTTTTTGGTAATGACCACAGTACCCGGTTCTACCCCAACACCTCCAGAAGTTCCCACACGAATGAATCTGCAATAAAGCTTTATAAATACCGTCATTAATTCAAAGCAGACATACTTAACGTCTTTTGCTTTTGCATAGTACATGAGTTTCAAAATTTCGTTAAGCATAATACTTAGAGAAGGGTTTCCCATTCCATGCTAGAAAACTATGACCTTGTGATGAATTTTATGTGATTGTGCTTACATTGACCCATACTACTTTTCCGCTTTTGTACAGAACGAAACGGTCACTTTTTGAGAGATTATTAGTGCAAGTGACGTGACATTCTTTCGCAAATTGTTCAGCATAGAGTTTCATCCTTGTGTCAGAGCCGCCAGTGCAGACGAACTGAAAAAGAAATGTTTTTCTCTGTATAGAGCAGTCCGAATAAGCAAAGATATAATGCATTGAACTCGCCTTTGTATCTCCAAACACTTTTTCAACATCCAAAGATTTACTTCCAAATCCGAAATGATAAAGAAAGTCCTCTTGAGAAGTATCAATATTGGGATTTTTCAGATCAAAAGGAGGATATTCAGCTAAAATGAAGGAACTATTGAGTTGAATTGGTAAGGATTGGCGACTGCTGAAGTGTAGATTTCAGCATCGGCAATATGTTTTCAAAGGTATCATTGCCAGGTTGGCAACGAATCAAAATGAGCAACTAATGGCTCAATTTGGTGAACGTCGCCTTTGAAATCGCTGTGCTTTCAACATCAATGACGGTATCCGCTTTTTATGTCACTTTATGCAAACGTAATCAGTATACGCAACTGTTTCTGGTCTAACTTCGCTGACTTCAAACTTGACAGCGCTAAATATCGTAAGTTATAACAACCCTAGTGCTAATAGGCAGCACAGGGATTGAAGACAGTGGCTCGGGAATATTTCAATTGCAAGCTTTCTACACCTACATGGCCTTCTAGTTGCACTGAGTCCAGTGCTGTGCTTGAAAAGTCAAAAAAGTGCTTTTTTACGGGGTTTTTCTACCCTAGAGATAGCCGGAGGAGATGGTGGAGGGATTTCCGCCGTGAACAGCGACTGGCTGCCAGAAGACTGTACATCACCCATTTTGGCGATAAGGCTGATCAGCCCAGGCAGCCAGTTGCGATGTTGGCGGGAATCCCTCCCCTTCGGCCATCTCCAGAGTAGGAATCGCCGTAAAAAGTACTTTTTTGACTTTTGAGCAAAGCACTGGACTCAGCGCATCCAGAATGCCATGTGGGTGTGGGACTTGCAGTCGCAATTCTTTCGAGCCACTGCCTTTAACCCTTTCGGACCTGAGTTTTTGCGAGTGAGCCGAAAAGCCTCTCTCCTATTGTTTTTTACTTATTACCATATGAATAACATTATAGCGGAGTTTCGAGTCTGCTTAACCTTATAAACTATTTCTTTTTGATTTTTTAATTTTTTGGTTCTGCGTTTATTTTGGATTTTCAAATCTCCCGCGATACATGTGGACCCGCAAACAGTTAGCAGTTACATTTGCTCAACATCGTACTAAAACAATATGTTAATATTATGAATATTTATTGGCTAATAGACGAGATCCTGAAACAGTGCTCAAGCCGGGGCAAATCATTGATTGGTTGAAATCCACTTGTATACAGAAATATACATATTGCTGACAGAAAAGCAAATGAGCACCCGGTCTCGAAGCTACATTTGGAAGGCAAAGGCTATATGAAGCGTTTGAGAGCAATGAGTAGTGAAATGATGTTCTTGCGCCAGTATAGTCGTCCTCACCCCACTAGTCGGTCGATGGACGAATTCGAATTCGAACGGGAGCAGGCAGGTCGCGGCAGAGCACGGCACCTTAGGCTCTCCGTTTAAATTCATGCATTCACTTTGCGTATTTCTTCGCCATTGCTTAGCAGTTTTTGTATTGTTACAACGTTTTTGACCTATATTGAGTTTCTGTAATTGCTGAGCGTTGTCTCCTGCCGCGCTCTGCAGTGACAGGCCTGCTCCAATTCAAATTTGAATTCGTCCACCGACCGACTAGTGGGGTGAGGGCGACTATACAGTAGATCTCTGAATTGATAGTGGCAATTGCCACCACCAGGTTCGAAAGGGTTAAAGGAACTGGACAGCATTCAGTCATGCGAAATGTACATTGTATGCTTGCTACGTCTGTGAGAGCCAAGCGCAAAAAATTTATTTGATGTAAAGTGGGCACCAGAGTTGTTGGTACAACTCACCATAAGCCATATTAGAAAGTAAGTAAATGAAAAGACCATGTGTAAGCGCCTAATATAAGAAGCGGCAAACACATGATAAAAACTCATTCAAAAACATGTTGGACATTATTTGAAAGTACTATTGAGTGTTCGGTCATGTCCATGTGCACTCCATCTTTGAGGAACGATAAAGGCGCAAACGATGCGGATTCGTTGCAACCCTCATGATTACGACATTGCGACATAGCTGAAAGAAGTCGCGAACTCGGAGAAAACTAGCTTTAGGCTTTATCACTTCATCGAAAAAATATAACATGACAAAATGCATTGAGAAGTTATCAGTACCTGGCTTATAAACCAGTGCTATTTTGCTTCAAATGATTCGAAGTAATAGAAACAAAGCGACAAGAAGAAATTGAAGTGCTCTAATTTCACGCGTACAGAGCTTTTAAATTGCAGAGTCGTTTGCACCAGCGGTCGCGCGACCGCTGGTGCAAACGACTCTGCAATTTGGGAGCCCTGTACAAGGCGCACCTTTTCCGGCTTTTCAAACGAGCCGCTCAGCTACTGAGTTTCGGGAAGCGATCCTTATGGCGCACGATTCTTTCAAGCAATATACAGCACGGAATAGGGTCCTTTGGTTGCGAATCCTTTGGCCTGTTTAGGCCGGTCGATTTCGGAGAAAAAATCCCGCGCGTCTTGTAGCGTGAAATTACGGAATTATACGGAATTACGGAATTATCCTAATGGCACAAAACTAACAACAACAAGAACAGAATGCTATGTACAACAATGGGGCTTCAACCCGATTTGCCCTCTCAGCAGGGCCTCTAAGCTATCTCCATCTAAGGGGGGAGGTCCGCCTCTCTTCGACGGCTCTTTTAAACTCTCTGGGGCGCTCTTTTCGCGCTCTGGCTGGTCTTCCCTATCCACCTGTATTTATACCCTGCTGAGAGGTCGAATCGGCCTCTCCTTTTCCGCCAGTAATGATTTTAGATCGGTGATGCGCGCCATCCAACACTACCAAATCCGACGTCGCAGTAAGTCACGGTAGGTGTCTCTACATATAAAACTTATTGTCTGTTTAGAAGGTATGTTCGTTATAGGGGCGCCCATGGCTGAACCGATTGAGCTGAAGATTGGCACACAGATATGACCCCAGGAAGAGCAGCTCCCGCAGAAAGGACACGTAATAAGGTGGAAATCTTTATTAGATCTCGAACAGCCGGCGATATATGAATACGACTGTATCAGTATGCCATTCGCGGAGTCAGGTGTCGTAGTTGACGGGGCAAACAGCAACCAGAGGTGAGTAGTTCCGGGTCGTTGGCGGCCGAGCAGCGTCCAAGCTTCCCAGTTTCTCCTCGAGTCCATCACTCCAGGACACACCCTCAATTAGATGACTCAAGACCGTGAAAGAAACAGAGCATGACATCGCATGCCCTTACATCTCCCTTACTTTTTAAAGTCCGTGCCGGACTTAATCAAAACCAAAGAAGGAATGGTTAGTTTATTAGGGCTGTTTGACGTGCACTACACTACTTGGAATTATGGTAAGTGGGTTAGCAACCAAATAATCATGCAAGTGACACGGCTTCTAGTTTTCTGCCGTTCAGCGTGCCTCACATCTCCACAGACCTTACGCATAAAAGGACGCAGCAACCGCCGAAAAAGAAGCAGCTACAGCGCCGAATTGTTCGTGCTCGGCATCGGGAGCTCAATTTATGCGATTGTTAGAACGGCGATCGGCGCAACCCCAGTCCAAAACAACGGAGTGTGACGGGTTTGTAGTAAGCATCTCCAAGTGGTTTGCATCTGGAGCAGCATCTAGGCGATATAATTAGTCCACGCGTACCCAGGCCTATTTGAACTGCCCCATGCCCCCACCTCTGTGTTTAAACCGAGCGGGCAGGCGGTTTGAAGGCGATCGCATACTTTAAGCACGAGCGATGCCGTCTACAGGTTGCGTTTTGATTGTGTTGGCGGGCATAGCGAATGCGGGCCTTGACATGGATCAGTATGTGGACGTGCATAACGTGCATACGCATGCGACGGCTGTTGGAAGTGTGGATCAGTGTTTGCCCCCGTGAAATAAGGGACGCAGGGCAAGCGCGTCCCCTCCGGACCGTGAGGGACTGTAAGGAGTTAGTCGATGCGCTGACCCACAGCAGTGAATAATTCGTTGAAGCCGCTCAACAAAGTCTGATATGTGTCCTTTACCTGCTTTGCCAAGGCAGACGCGCCGCTCTGAAGTCCTTCCAGGCCTCTGTGAACGCCTGAGCGGTGGCGTCGCGTAGCGTCTTGGCGTCACATCCGGGTACGAACACGTCGTCGCCCACATTGGATAACAAGCCCATGACCGCACTGGCAAAATTGCCAGGAGCTTCTGGCGATGTCGGGGCTTCTGCCCTGAGATTGTACGGAGTGCGAGCGCGAGTAGTCGGAGGACCCATGGGATCTGAAAGGGAAAAATTTCAGATGTCTACGTCAGATGCTAGAAGAAATCGGAAGTGGTGTCAACGCGAACGAAGAGACAAAGATGCCTGTGGAGAAATGAGGGCCTAAGTTAGAGAGGACTAAGCCGGCGCTCGATGCGACCGATTGAGATTGGATTGAAGCGTGGAGTCTCCGGCTGAGGGCGGCCTTAGGTGAAAAACCCAAAGTATGCGAGGATTGTCGCCAACTGCAGCTATCCGCGCGAGAGGCACAGATGGTCAACTTTTTGCGCAGAATGCATGTGTCATGACGCGAGTGCCAAAGGCAAAGAAACCCTTAGCTACATGCAGTTGCCGAAATAGGTTTTTTGCGCAAGTGATGGCTGCTCTTAGTGACTAAGGCGAACATTCTTCGAAATATAACTAAGGCAAACATTTTTGAGGTAATCTATAATACTAACAATAGACTAGAACGTCTGGGTCGAAGTGTTTTTGCGAATTGGTACGGGAATGGGGCACTATCTATGCAGCAAGGGTAAAACTGACCTTTGCCAACGAGCATCAGTGTACCCTGTGTTGCGCTACCCTTGTGGTGTGGCCTCGCTGGATTTCTGAAGAGGAATTGACGATTAAGTGCAGGTACAGAATGCAACTGAAATATGAGGTCTGTATGTTCATTTTGTAGCCAACTGATGTTTTTTGATTATATTTGATGCAACGATAGTTCAATAGGCGCACTCGGCGGGTTTACCCGGGAGATTGAGGGAGTTCAACTGTGCAAAAATTAAGAGAACGGACGTTAGATTTCGTTGTGTAACTACGTGAATTGGCTAATATGAAGTCGAAGACGGGGCATAATTGCCCTTTCTGGTATCGCAATCCAGGAGAATATTAGTATCACAAGTAAAATCGGAGGAGCTAAGTGATTGCCCCGGGTATCCATCTAGGGATCTTTGGATCGTGATGAACTGGATCCCCGCCGTTTTTGGTCCTTGAATCTCTTCCGCACCCAATGCTTGACGTCGAGGCTCTGAAATCAAATCGCGGTCATTCCCCAAAAATATGCAGCTGCACTCATAAAATTCAAAACTGGGACCTAGGGCGCTATCCTGTTTACACACAACTTGGATCCAACAGAATTTCGGTGCGCCCTACGAATCTGGCGGCACTAGAAAGGACCATGTACTGCAGACGTCTGCGTGATACCACGCCGAACAAGAGCTACTAGCATACAATAAGTTGAGAGACTAGGCGAACACAACGGAGAATGAATTAGAGCACTATCGGTTCACAAAATGGCCAGTTTTGTAATCGACAGTATTAGTTGTGGAGTTTGTTTGAAGCTCGCATAGGTAGCCGTCCATCCACGTCGCTATTCCAACTCGCTGCCACCAGTAAGAGCAGCGCCCGCAGAGAGGACACATATTAAGGTGGAAAACTTTATTAGATTTCGAAACAGCCGGCGATATATGAATACGACTGTATCGGTATGCCATTCGCGGAGTCAGGTGTCGTAGTTGACGGGGCAAACAGCAATCAGAGGTAAGTAGTTCCGGGTCGTTGGCGGCCGAGCAGCGTCCAAGCTTCCCAGTTTCTCCTCGAGTCCATCACTGCAGAACACACCCTTAATTAGATGACTCAGGACCATGAAAGAAACAGAGCTTGACATCGCATTTTGACATTTCATCGATTTATTGATTTGTTTACTGGCTTCTGGAAAATTGAAAATTGCAGTTATTATCGAGTCATTTTACTATAATCATTTGAACAAACAGGGACGGTAGTCACCTTTACTTGGTTTTAAGCAGCATGCGGTGACTTTATGTGAGTCGCCCAAAGGGCCCTCTATTCCTAAAGATGCATTCGCAAGTTGTCTTCTTTGCAGGAGAAGAAAATGAGTTGATTGCGTTGGAGGTGAAGCGCAAGTCGGCGGATAGGTAAATCCTGCTAATTTGCTCGAGAGTGTGCATCGCTTGACGGTCCAGCTACCCAGTTCCGTGTGAAATCGGGTATGCCAGCTAGCGTAGTATATGGGAGAATTACATATTACCAATCTGGCCAAAACTTGCGTAGGGGGTTATATGACATGGTGATCATGAAAACGACATTAGTGCATGGAAAAGTCCCTTTTTATAGGATTACTGTAGTTTACGGTATGGAGTTTCACCCTAAACAAGAAAGGAGGTGTTTTTCAACAAATGTATGGTATTCGTATTAGGCACGCCAAATAATCCAATAAACAATTTTGGCGAATTCTGAAAATTCTGACTTCTCAATTATTGACGCTTGTCTCCAAGCAGCCTTGCGTACAGCGACTCGTTCAATTTTGAGAGGGCATCATATTCCGATTTGCCTTCAAATATTACTTCTTTTCTATTCAGCTAGATTGGCCAGCCTCTGGCAACTCATATGCATACTAGCTTGCTTAGCCGGCTCCGCTCGGCCCTGTCAAAGCTGCAATAAAGTTCCCATCCCTATCCCTGTAAAGCCTTTCCCTGTGCCCACTTCTACACTTCATTTCCCTTTCCTTGTGCTGCTCGAAATCAGCATGCCCACTTACCCCCTCTGTACCCCAACTCTCAGCCCTTCAACTCAAATTTTGAAAAAATCGATAAAATCGATAAAAGTAATCGATAATTCCAGAAACTCATATTGTATTCGTAATCAGCATGCTCGATTACCCCTTGTGCCAACTCCCAGCCCTGTAGCTCAAACTTCGCAAAAAAAATCGATAAAATGGATATCGAGCGATGACGAAAAGTAGCCTATGACACCCGCCCGGCCCCGAAGTGTACGTGTGCCAAGTTTGGTCCGAATCAATTCAGAAATAAAAATCTCTATTCCGCACATACGTACAGACAGATATACATACAGACAGACATTCAACTTTATATATAAGAAGATACGGAGGCGTTTTTCAACAAATGAGTATGATATTCGTACTCGGCACGCCAAATAATCCAAAAAAAATTTCGGCGAATTTTGAAATTCTGACTCCTCAATTACTGACGCTTGTCTCCAAGCAGGGGTGCCAGACTTATCCTGTAACAGGTTCATTGGGTTCACCACCTTTGCTGTTTGACATTATAGTAATTTGACCTATGAACCGAACGAACCGGCTGAAGCGGATAAGTCTGGCACCTGCCTAGTGACATCGGACGTGCGCGGCGCACTGGCCGTACGCATGTCCGACTCTCGCGATCCTGCAGGCCACTATAATGTTGACAGTTCTTAGGTTGTACTGAAGTGGGACAGAGATAGAGGAGAAGTAGAAAATGGCAATCTTTTTTTTTGAATTTCACAAGAAAGACGAAAAACACCTTTGATAATCTTTATTTTCGACTAAGCATCCAACTAATATCCAAGTTGTTTTCTCATAAGCGCAGTTACCAACCGAAATGGTCGGTCTTCCATTTCCTTGAGTTGATCGCCTTGTAAATTTATCTGGTCGCTCTCCATACGATTCAAAAGTGCAACGGTGACAACTGCAGCTAAAAAGCTTTCGTAATAGACCAAGTTCTTGATTGAACAGTCTAAACTCTATTCTTTACCTTTACATCCAGCACGATACGTTATTGACGAAAAGCATGCGCTTTCCATGTCGGTGTTTATTACTCCTTTGTCATGCAATGTCTCCAAAAATGCCACTTTATCATCGTTTTTGTAATCACAAAGGAAACTGTCGAGACGCATCAATCCTGAGACTCCTTCTTTTTTGTGTCATAGAACAAACATTTAGAACCTTCGTAAAAGTCGTCAGAACACATAGTATATCCAACTTTAACAGGAATATTTTTCTCCTCAGCCACTTCTAACAGATCTTTTCGGAGGCCTTCGTCAAAAGAAGTGTCACGTTCCACCTGAATTCTTTCGTCGCTTGCAATTGAAACTTTTGCTTTCATCCAAACATTTCTCACTAGAGAATCCAAGAGAATACCTCAAGATTTCATTTGCCTACAATGCTTACCCTCTCGCCCGCTATCCATTGCACATATTTTTCATTGAATTCACCATTGATGGTATTTTTGGTAATGACAACCGTACCGGGGTCTACTTCAATGCCTCCGGCAGTTCCCAGGCGAATGAATCTGCATAGGAGCTTTTTAGAGCTATTTTTGAAGCATTAGAGTTCTTTTTCCTGTTTCTTATTCTAAAGCAGACGTACTTGACATCTTTTGCTCTTGCATGATACATGAGTTTCAAAATTTCATTGAGCATGATACTAACAGAAGGGTTTCCCATTCCATGCTAGAAAACCTATACTTCCAAAGTCGAAGTTGCAAGGTCAGACTTACATTAACCCACACTACTTTCCCGGTTTTGTATAGGACGAAGTAATCGCTTTTAGAGAGGTTGTTGGTGCACGGAATTTGGCATTCTTTTGCAAATTGTTCAGCATAGCGTTTTATTTTGGTAACAGAGTTACCAGTGCAAACGAACTAAAAAGAGAGTTCATTGTTCTGCGATAAATTTTTTTTATCATAGGGACTAAGATACCATGACTTTGAAGTAAAACTCGCCTTTGTATCTCCAAATACTTTTTCAATATTAAAAGATTCAGTTCCAAATCCAAAATGGTAGAGAAAGTCTTCTTGAGTTCTATCAAGATTGGGATTTTTCAAATCCAAGGGGTTGTCATGTACAATGCAAAAAGCGTATTCATCTGAAATGAAAAGTATTGTAGGTTAATTGCAGGAACAAAGGAACTTCACTCGAGCTGAAGTGTATGAGTGTAGAATCGAAACAGAATATGAACTTTGCGAAAGATACTATCACTGAACTTGATACAAGCCATAACGGCTAAATGTTCACAATTTTATAAGATTAAATTTCCTTGGAAACATATCATTGCATATCATGTACCACACGGACCAGCTGGGAATGTGGTTCTGTATTGGTTGCCAGTATGTTTTCTGCACTGCGCCTAGGAAAATGCTTGGATGCTTGGTCAAACATGATAAACTTTTATTTTCTAAAAAATACGTAAATATCATTACTTATAATAACGGGCTAAGAATGTTTACGTGACTTTGTGTGTGTGTGTGTGTGTGTGTGTGTGTGTGTGTGTGTATGTGTGTGTGTGTGTCTGTGATTGTGTCTGTTACGAAATTCATAGAGCGTGTTCCAACCAACCCCCTGGGCTCAAATTTTGCACAGCGCATGCTACCTGCATATAAGTCCAACATGCAAAAGCACGAGCCAATTCGTTAAGTGGATCCCTCAGAAACTGCGCGTCAAACGGTTCCACTTTGCATTTGACGAGCAAAGTTGGGTCCGTAATTCCACTTTTTGTAGGGTTGAGGATATTTATGTTGAGCAAATGTGCAAGCCATGAGCTTAGGCCCAAAAAAGTGATAAATTGTCCAGTACTTTACAAAAACAGCGAAAAAGTATTGGTTGCGCAATTGGTCAATTTGCCAAGGTTTTACCAGAGCATCTGACAATTTTTGCACAAAGCTCACGGTGACTGCTGTTCTTATTGCAACTGTCAAGACCATGGGAAAATCAAAAACCTATAGAAATTTGCGTTTGTTCTCATGCAAAAGTCTCATTCACGCGAAATCACCGATTTCACATATAAAAGCTTTCGGAATGAGTAGTTGTTTACATTTTGTTCGTGATAGTCGGCATTGCTCGGTGAGTTCCAATGCCATCATTATGTGAGAATGAGTAAGGCCTAGATAGTGGAGCCAGTGCGAGCCTCTGCGAAGCAGAGGTGACGCATTGGTATCTTACTATAATATCTTTTGGTAACTGCCAAAGCGATGCGACGAGAGTACTCTCCTCCCCCATATGCTTTACCGTTATGCTATGTGTTCTCTTACAGTGTTAACAGCAGATTCGCGACAACGAGGGCAGTAAAGATTATGCGGCGACGAAATATAACTGCGATACATGAACTAACGCGGATGTGCAGAGAACGCCGAGAGAGTATTGGGGAGCGCATGCACTCAAGGAGGATCCACATAGTTTGCATAACAGCGACGTAGAGTTGACGGCGTTCATAGTTAATTTCCAGACTGTATGCACTTTAAGTGCAAATTATAGAGCTTGCTCCGCATGGAAAGTGCAAATATGGGCAACAGTCGACAAAGATCACCTCATTCATAAACAAGCAAGAAGGGGATCAAGTGCGTGTCATGTGCAGAGCCCAAACAACAACGAAATATTGATTCTAGACTACCGAATTAGTGCAAATGTCTGACCCCCCAGTTGCTATCATAATTCGGAAAACTGTCGCCCATTTCGCTTCCTATCCTGTCTAACTTCTTACAATCATTAGTTTTCGAAAAGCACATTATGATTTTGAACAATATGAAGATTAGGAAAATAAGATAATATAACCTATCAATTTTACGGGGATTCGCTTAAACCTACCTTTTGAACGCTTATACACCTCGTGAATGCTTGTTTTTGAAAATATTGTTTTTGCCTCTGGAAATGGAAAAACAGGGGAGCTACGTCTCGTTGGAAGAAAAGAATCAGTCGCACAAAAACCTGTTAAATACTTACTTTTGGATGAATATTGTTTTTGCCTCTAGAAACAAATGAGCAGAGGAAGCTCGGTCTGCTGAAAGGAAACACCCAACAAATCCACTCGAAAACACATTTCTTCCAACTAGCTTTAATGTGAAAATTCACAGAACTTGCTGCATTAGTTTTTGGGGGCCTCTACTTTGTAATATCCATACTTTTGCCAATAAAAACAACACAGCAGAGGGAGCTTGTCTTAATGGAAGAAAAACTTAGTGTTCATGCGGCAGGAGATTTTTGATATGATTCTCTAGGTTTCAGTGCTGGATCTCACAGAAAAAGCTTGAAATTCACTTTGGCCGCTTTTATCTTGCGAAAACCGCTCGCTTGAAATACCCAGAGATTTCATGCGACAGGACATTTTTGCTAGGAATATCCAAGAGCTTTGAGCAAGCTTTGGTCTCGCTTCAAGAAATGACCGTTTCTTGGCGAGACGTAATAAGGAGAGTATAGGACTGTGCATGATCGCGAAGCTTGATGTGTTAACGGCCGTCGCACAGTTCCTGAATGTCAGCCTGAATTTCGGGCTGAAAGCTGTTCTACATAGATGACTGCTGAGGTGATCTTTATGTTTGGTAGCTGTGGTAGTTGGGTCGGGTACTTGCAAGAAGAACAGCGTAGATGATTTGGGAGTTACTCACCATGAAAAGTTTCCTTGAGAGCATAATCTTACTTCTACTAATGCGTACTTACGTTGCCCCAACATCGTTGAGAAAATGGAAATGATCTTGAAAGGAAATCTTGAAATGAGCCTGATCTTGCTTCCACTACTACTTGCATTGCGAAAAAGATCGTTGAGAAAATGGGAATTCATTCTCTTGCTATTTTTAGTTGCATGCAGACAGTTATCAATGTATCTGCCCCAACACACTTGCTAGCGACCCGTAGGGTCGTAGCCGCGGGAGATTTTTGTTAAGACTTCTTTGTTTTCAAGGCTAAGTTATAAAAAACCTCCTTGAAATCCACTTCAAGCAAAAATTCTTGTGCTCTCAATAGCGGAAAAGTAAAGGAGCTTTGCAAGAAGAACAGCGTAGATGATTTGAGAGTTACCATTGTAAAGTTTGCTTAAGAGCATGATTTTACTCCTACGACTACATATTTACGTTTCGCCAAAAATCGTTGAGAAAATGGAAGTCCATCTTCCTTGCCATTTTAAGTTGCACGCAGATAGTTATCAATGTATCTGCCCCAACCCACTTGATAGCGACTCCTAGGGTCGCTACTGCTGCAGGACATTTTTCCGAACAATTCCTTGTTTTCAAGGCTAAGTTATAAAAAAAATTCTTGAAATTCATTCTAACCGCGCCTACTTCGCGAAAGTCATGCTTTGGCACCCAAAAGCAGAAAAGCAGAGGGGGCTGGTCTCAAAAGAAGGACAGAGCCACGGGCTTCATAGCAGGACTTTTTTGCTAGATTATCCGAGGAAAGCTTCAGCGAGTTTTATATCTTTTAGTATCGCTATAAAAGTGCCTTCATACCGCGGCGGCAGCCGCCGCTGGTAGCCCGTAGCAGCCGGCAGTTGCCGCCAGCAGCCCGTAGCCGTTGCTGGCCGCTTTTGTCATAGAAACGCAAAATCATCAAATTCTTGGTATTTTAGCGCAAACGCCCACGCTTTCCATCTTCCACGCTTTTTCCTCCCTGTTGCGGTCAATCTACAGTTCCACTTTCACACACTACAGAGCTGTTCAAGATAAGCACCGGGCAAGGATATAATTGAAGCGGAACCACGCATATAAAATAAACACTACAGAAACTGGACGCATCCAAAGTCAGACGATCACATCGCAAAGAAACTTTGGCGAAATATGGTTCAACTGCGAAAGGGAAACTGAGCACCAATAGGATAACCAATCTACGGCAACAAGATTCTAACAGCAATGGCCACAAGTATGATATACGAGATCGAATGGCGAAAATAAAATCGTACTTCTGCCTTAAAGAATCAAAAAGAGCAGAGGAGAATTGGTCTCGAAGGGAGGAAAGCGCAGCAGCTTTATGCGGCAGTTTTCTGTTGATAATTTCTCAGTTTCAATGCTAAATTATACAAAAGCTCGCTTGAAGTCCACTTTTAACCGCTTCTACTTCGCAGACACATATCTGCCTCGGAAGCTTGGTCTCGAAGAAAGAAAGGTTCCAAGAGCTTCAAGCGGCAAACATTTCTCCTAAGAATTTCTCAGTTTCAATGCTAAATTATACAAATCTCGCTTGAAATCCACTTTTGACCGCTTTTATTAAGTCTTAAAGAAAGTTCCCGGGCACTTGCAAAAAATTTTTTTCGAAGTGCTGTAACTTCAAGGAGATTGATTCTTCTTCAAAGCTACAAACTTCTTTGCAAAGACAATTTTGTTTACAACATATATGTCTTGCTGGCTTTTCAGCGTTTCGCTGCGGTCCACCAGCTTGCGCAGAAGGGAAAAAAATCGACGCGAAAATAACCTATTTGCGCAGAATATCTCAGGCATGATGAGAGCTGGACAGTTCATATGCTGTAGTTATATAGAACTCTGCCAGGGCTGTCTTGGAGACTATTTACGCCTTTGAGCGACTATCTGCAAAATAAGTTTTTCCAGAAAGGTTAAGAAATTGACCAGTTTTTGCCTCAAAAATGCACCATTTTTCGACCTTTTTTAACGTGCAGATCATACAAGCTTTGGTATCAATGAAAATTAAAAGCGACTCCGAAAAAATTAGGCTTTCTTCTACCGAACAGTATAAAAACTCGGTGTCAAATACCGACGGAGGCAAAAAAATGCATCAAAAAACGAAGTCTTTAAAAGTGCCCGGACTCTTCATTTACAATATTTCGCAGAAATTTATAGTTGCCGTCACCCACTAGTCGGTCGGTGGACGAATTCAAATTTGAATTGGAGCAGGCCTGTCACGGCAGAGCGCGGCAGGAGACAACGCTCAGCAATTACAAAAACTCAGTATAGGTCAAAATGTTGTAACAATACAAAAACTGCTAAGCAATGGCGAAGAAATACGCAAAGTGAATGCGTGAATTTGAACGGAGAGCTAAGGTGCCGTGCTCTGCCGCGACCTACCTGCTCCAGTTCGAATTCGAATTCGTCTACCGACCATAGGTGCGATAGGGGGAGCCGGGCTCTCCCCAGGTGAAGGGGGTCTCGG